TAGCCACACTTGACCATCTGATGTTTTGAGAGAGGGGTTAAAAGTATATGTTGGAAGAAAGCATCTTTAAAAAAAAAAAAAGATGCTGCAAAAATGGTTATATACGTACAGAAGACTCAATCTAGACCCATGTCTCTCGACATGTACTAAGCTAAAATCAAAATGGATCAAGAATCTAATTATTAAAACATAAACACAATCTTATAAAACATAAAACAGGTAAAACTCTTAAAGACAGTCAAAAGCAAGGGCTATCTGAACAATATTCCAATGGCACAAGAAATAACATAACAAATCAACATATGGTATTATACTGCATTAGAAATCTTCCAAACAGAAAAGAAAACAACTAACAGAGTTGAGAGACAATATTTTTGCCACCTAGACCTTGAATAGAGAACCAATATCTGAATATATAAAGAAGTCAAAAAATTTGATACTCCAAAATAAAATACTCTAATCCAAAAATGGCAACTGAAATGAACACACACTTTTTCAAAAGAAGTAAAAATGGTAATAACATATAAAAATATGTTTGAAACCTCTAGCCATTAGATAAATGCAAATTAAAACAACACTGAGATTTCATCTTACTCCAGAAAGAATGACTATCATTAAGAACTCAAAAAATGACAAATACTGGCCTTGGCAAGGTTGTGGGGAAAAGAATCCATTTACAAATTGGTGAGAATGAAAACTCATACAATCTTTATAGAAATCAATATTCCTCAAAAAACTGTACATAGAAATTCAAGTCAGCTATATCTCCTTTAGGTATCTTATGGAATCAAAGACACCATATGACAAGAGTACATGCACATTCATGTTTATAGGAGCACAAGTCATAAAACATAAATCTTGGAAGCAACCTATGTATATGTCCATCAACAGATGAATGAATAAAGAAGAGCTGGTACTTATACACAAAGGAGCACTAATCTGGTATAAGTAAGGATAGATTTGAGTCATTTACAGGAAAATGAATATATCTTGAGACCATAACGGTAAGTGAAATAAATGAGACCCGCAAGCTTCAATATGCATGGTTAGTGTTAGTATAACCCAAAGTATAAGTAAGTTAAATAGCAATATGAAATACAGATAATAGAAAACAGAAAGGCAGATTTTTACAAATGGAAGGGGACAAAGATATGGAGGGAGATGTGACGAAGAGATGGAATATGGGATATGAAATAATTATGTATTTATGTACAGGTCCAACTCTCTGCATGTATGGTAAACATATATAAATAAATCAAAAATTTAAAAATTTAAAAACTCACTAAATTTCAGAATTCTAAGGAAAAAAAGATATTGTTATTGGGCTGTCACTGTAAAACTGGGAATATGTGTCTGTACTAATCTGTATATATGTATATCTACATTTAAGAAACAATCTGTATATATATACATATTTAAAGCAAACACAAATTTAAAATATTATCTTATATTCCAATCTAATTTTTTTTTTTGTACTAAGAATTGAACTCAGGACCTCATGCTTGCCAGGTAGGTGCTGTGCCCCTGAGCTACATCCCTAGCACCAATCTAATATTACAGAGCTAATCTTAGCCTTTAACATTCTTCCTTCTAATTTCCATTTCTGATAATGAGCAATCTGTTTGTTTCAGTTCTGACATACATGAAATGTAACTTCAGAATTGCTAGTTCATATATCTGAATAAAACAGATTTATCATCTAAAGGAAGGACAATCAGCCTATAGATTCCAAAAACAATGTGGTCTTCACCCTGCTTTGGAATGGCCTAAGAGTTAAGAATATTTGTTATATTTTTAAATATATGGGAGAAAAAAGGAAAAGATTACATGAAATGCATATGAAAATTACATAAAATTCATATTTTAGTGTATGTAAATTTTATTGGAAGTAATTCCAATGTTTTTACATATTATTTTGTTAAAACTACAAAATAGGAGCCCAACGGTCTAAAAATATCACAAATATCTACTATCTAGCTCTTTACAGAAGAAGCTTGCTAAACCTAAACTACAATATATTTGTTATATAGTTCTGTCTTTAGTCTTACTGCGTCTAATAAAACATCATATTCTAAAATTATTCAATAAGTTAAAGATATATATATTAGATTTTGAATATCATTAAATTTATTGTAACCTTCATTAATTCTTTGGGTTCCATATGATGCTTGAGGTTTACATTTCTTATAAGGCTGGTTTCTTCTACAGTAAACTCCAACTTTTACTTTTTTTTTTTTTTTTTTGTCTTTTTTGTTTTTATTGGTACCGGGGATTGAACTCACGACTGCCTGCTTGCAAGGCAGGCGCTTATGCTGCTGAGCTAAATCCCCAGCCCCTACTATTTTAATATTATATAAATAACATCATTGTACAACTTTAGGAACCTAGATCTTTCATTTATCAACTTTATTTTGACATTCATCTTCCTGTGTCAATTAAAAGCTCATTCTTTTATTTATAAAAGTAATTTAACTGTATATTTTATAGATGCTCAAAAGAAGATCTATTTCTACTTTACTGAGAATATCATGAATACAATAAAATTTTATTGGATGCCTTTTCATGATCTATTGAAACTATATAGAGAAGAAATAGCTTTTTCTTATTTAATCTGTTAACAGAATGAAACTACTTTGCATTTTTGGAAGAAGTCCCTTCAGTTATAATACATTTTTAATTTTTATATAATACTGTGTTTGGTTTTATAGTGAATTTTCAATGATTTCTGTGTATATGTTCATGATATATACTTGCTTATAAATAATCATTTGGTTTTAGCATCCATATACACATTGCCCAAAGAAAATGACTTAGGAAGTTCTTCTGTTTTCAGGAATGTCCAAGATTGATAATGTTTTACTTTAAATTTTGGGACAATTCATCAGAGAAACCATCTGGGCTTAGAGCTTGCTTGCTTGCTTGCTTGCTTTTTCTTTCTCTCTTTTCTTTCCTTCCTTGCTTCCTTCTTTCCTTCCTTCCTTCCTCCCTTCCTTCACTTCCTTTCTTTTTTGAAGATTCTAACTATAAAATCAATTTCTTAAATATATATACAATATTTACATTATCTTTTCTTAAGTTTATAATGTAGTTTATGTCTCTGAAGGAGTTGGTCCATTTCAAATGGTTTTAATAAACAGAAACATGGACAATAGGACTAGCACACTAGAAAAACATTTTAAAAATATCCAAATATGCAAGAAAACAAGATTGAAACACATAAATAAATATAAGTGTAAGATACATATGAGACATAATCTAAAGATCTCACATATAATTTGAAGTTCCCAAATGAGGGCAAACACATACTGGTACAAAAGCAAATCTGAAAGAAACAATTGCTTAAGGTTTTCTGAAACAGATGAAAGACATTAAGTTCTGCAAACTTCAAATGGAGAACTAATTCAAGATAAACCACACCTAACAGTATCATATTAAAACTACTAAGCATAAGGAGAATAAATTTTAAAGGCAATAATGTGGGGCTACATTTCTTAAAAAGAATTAATTAACTTTTTAACAGACACCAAAGAAGCCAGGAGAGAATGGAGGTTTCTTTAAAATACCAATGAACATAACTACCAATCTAGAATTCTATATCCAATAAAAACATTCTTCATAAAGAAAAGCAAAACAAAACCAGAATTCATATCCAGAAACTGATAAGAAGTGAGGCAGTAAAATGACTTTCTCCAGGAAAACAAAAAATGATCAGATTCCAGAAGAAAACAGAATTACAGGGAAGAATCAAGAAAAGGGTAAATATCAAATATCAATAACCAACAATGTCACTGTATGAACAAAGATAACTTCTTGTGTGTTTTATACAGGCAGAAATAAAATGAAAAAATATGCAAAAAAGTAGATTAAAAAGTATAAAATCTTTTCATGCCCCAATATCTTCAGAGTAGTAGTCAAAAATATAATTTGTCATATGCATATTGAGCTTGATAGAGAACAATAATACAGTGGTTAAAAAATGATTAAGCTAAAGAAAAGGAAAATGAATTATTTAAACTGTGCTTAAGCTAAAGGGAAACCACAAAAGTACTGGATTTTAATTCTTGAAAAAGGAACTTGGGCTGTGGACATAAAGCTCAGTGACAACAGCACCTGCCTGAAAAGTGCAAGGCCCTGAGTTGGATTCCCGGAACAAACAAACAAAGCCTCATGTACTACCAACCAGATATACACTTTAAATACAATGATACAAAGCAAAAAGAAAAAATAGAAAAATGTATACTCTGCATATTTTTAGCCAAAAGAAAACTCTCTAGCTGTCCTAATACCAGACATACTGTGAAAAAGAAATATTTCTACAGATGAAGAAGGACATTTCATGGTAAAAAGTTCAAAATATGGCCTATAATTATAGGTGTCCAGTGAGATAACTTCAAAATATATCACATGAAGATAAAAGGAGAAAAAACAAAACCTTTCAGTTCTGTAATCATACTTGAACCTTTGTTGAAACTTGATAACTAGCTATTACTATACAGAAAAATAATTCCCAAAGACATCACATACTTAAATGTAAAACAAAAAACCCTTCAGAAAAAAACACAGAAGTCTAGAAATAGACAAAAATTATAAAATGCTCACCAAAATGAAAATAATGAATATAAAAGGGATGTGTTCATCAGAACTCAGAATAGTGCTCATGGAAAGCTATTGGAAAAGGAATGAAAAGGCAGGTGGGCGGGCAGGAAGAGATACACCCCCAGAGGTCTCATGGGCTCCCTGCTGGGCCTGTCGGAAGGTGACTGAATCAGGAGGGGACACAGCTGCTTGCCGTGAGGAGGTGGGGCCTGTTCAGAAGAGGCAGTTCTCTGGGACATAACCTGGAAGGATGCATCTCCTGTCCAGGATCTTCCCTTCTCCTTCTGCTTCCTGGCATCATGACTGAAGCAACTTTTGTTCTTTTATGCCCTTCCGCCATGGCCTAAGAAAATGGACTGAAACTTTGGAACTGTGAAGCTAAATAAGCTTGTCCTCCTCTTTAGGTGGTGGATGTGAAGTATTTTGACCCAGCATAAGAAAGTGACTAATACAACAAAGCACATAACTGGAAAAGAAACCAGCACACCTAAGAACTTCCACAGAAACCTAACCAAAGAGCCTATTCCCTCCTCCCACCCCAGGTAATACTGACTGTACTTCATGACTCCACTACTGGCCATTTTTTTTACCCGGAAAAAGCTCTTTCCTTGACTTCTCCGGTATAATATCCCATCCTAGAATTCTCCTACTCCTCTAATGCAGTTTTCTATCACTTGTCCCTCTTCTTATCAGTGATTATTTAGGTCCCCTTTGTCCTCACATGGTTATCCTCCACTGTTCACACTCCCTTAAGAGTCTGAGGTCTTAAGCAGCTCTCTGTCCACTTGTAAGTGATGCTTCCCAAGCAGTTCCATTGTGAAGATCACACATGCATCTCTAGCTGCCTGCCCTGTACTCATGCTTCTTCTCATTTACAAGATAGAAGCTACTAGCTTCTTCACAAAAATGAGCTCTGGTTCCTAGCTTTCCAAGTTTTGTTATTCATTTCTTCCTATTAAAACCAGCCTTCTATTCTACCTACATTTACAAGTTTTAAAGTCCCATAAATGGCTCAAGGGATTGCTCATCTGCGCCTCTTCCTCTGCATCACCACGCAATGAGACCGACAGCTTCCGGAGTGAATTCTTACTGGCCATATCTAACAACTCAAAACAGTCTGCTAATCGAAACCACGTAATTCATGTGTTACAATTCTGTTCAAAACTGTCAGTACCCCTCTTCTTAAAAAAAATATATGTTATATTTCAAGTTTAATTTTAAAAGTAGTTTGCCTACGGAAATTTGAAATTAAAAAAAACGAGTCCTAGGTTCACATAATTCAGTTATATCCCCAGAACTAAGTTTAGTGATCAATATGACATTGATGAAAAAAGTTTTTAAACTATTAAATGAAAAAATAAATCAAATACAAAAAAGAATATATTGTTCCTTATTTCCCAGTAGTCACACCAGTAAATGTTTTTTACGTTATTTTAGAAAATGTTCTATAATTGATGTTCTCTAATATTAAACCTGGTAATTTTGACCTGCTCTTTTACTCTTTTGAGTATTTAATTAATATATAAGTCAACTGGGAAATTTCTTCAAAATATCTCACTCTCTTCCCCATTTTATCATTTTGAATCAAATCAACTTGTAGCAAATAGAATTATTTATATTAAATTGCAAGAGTTTCCATATTTTGAAGACTGAAATAATCATAGTGAAATTACGATTTACTGGATCTTTAAAAGATAATTATCTAACACTGTTTATATTTCAGATGGTCAATGGCAACATTTTACATGATTTAGGACAAGCAGGAAAAGAGGTGTATTCTTTATAGCAAAACACTGACTCCCTTTAAGTAGAGGATTCTATTTTCTTCCCAGTGACTAAATATTGCAAGTTTTAAATATCTCAAGTGGTTTTCCTGCCCTATTAGTAAAAACTCTTCAAGAGAAAAATTTTGGAAACTAACATATAAATGTCTTGGATGAGCCTGATGTGATTTCAAGACATTTTTTACCCGGTCATGAATCTCCTCACAGTTTGAAGGTGAACACCAATCAGAATGGAATCTGTGGGCAAAAAAAACCAAAAGTAACTTGTAGACAGAAGGCAAGAAACACAAATTTTTCCAAATTGCCAAATATAAAAAGTCATTTTCATCCCTAAATAATAAACTAAATCTAAAATAACATTTTTCTTCCATTGATCAAAGATAAGGGAAGGACATAAAGTTAAGTACTGACTCTCAGCTACGGTATTAAGTTACTACATGCTCAACAAATAGTTTTAATAATTAAGTGGACATGCGTTTGGGACTTGTATATATACCTATATGCTGATCATTCAAATGATTTCCATATGCAACTATTTATCCCTGATCATGACACAGATTTTCATACTGGCATAATTCCATGTATAATATGTTTAACATTTGTTTTTACTGTCTAACAATTTGATGAAACTCTCTTAAACTATATGGAAAAAATACCTTTACCCATATTTTTAAAATTATTAATTTTATAAAGTGGAATAAAATGTATATAATATTAGAGTCTAATCATGTTCTTATACTTTTAGAATACAGGTGACAACATCTGTCTATAGTCTGTTATTAGAGAACTATGTATGAAAAAAAAGAAAAATTTAAATGTAGCTAAGAAAATTATAATTTTATTATAATCTGAAAGTTGGAATTAAAGACCTCACAGTAGAAATAAAGCATCCAGTTTTCTTTATTTTGTCCTTTCTAAGTTCAAAACTGGTATTACTATAATTTATGCTATTTTACACAAGTAATAATGAAAATTTTCAGATTACACAACTACAATGCATTGATGCAAAGTGTTATTAATAATTCCTTTAGAAAGAAGTAGATAAAATGCTAAAACTACATAATCTTTTCTTTTTCTCTGAATTTGTTCTCACAAATTTACAATGCTAATTTGTTAAACACTGTATAAATTATTCAGCAGAATAAGTGGTTTATATAATCTAAAGAACATAATAAACAAAGGAAAATCAGTTGTATCTAAAACTTAATCTCCTACATGTGCCAAAATAGGTTACACTGTGTCCATACAAAGGCGGGAAGGTCTGTTATTTGCAATGTATGCAGCACACCTTGGAAATCTAAGGTCCAGCCATGCAGCTCCAATAAATCCCTTCAGTGATACCATTAGGGGATTCACTAGTCTGTGTGTGATACAAGTAATGTTTACTTACCAATCTTTAACTCCTTTTACAAGAATCATAACTTTCAGCATAATTCAAAAGAGCATCAGCCCTTGTTAATTACATATGGTAATATTTTTAAGCCTAACAGTCACACTCATAAAGTCTAATATAAATTTTAAATCATAATATGTATTACAATTTATGATTCAAGAAAAAAAGTACTCTTAAATACAACCAAAATTAAAACTCTTTTATTGGTTTGGTACTTAAGAGTTTTTCTTTTGTTTTGTTAGTTTGTTGAGAAAAAGTATTGTTATATAATCCAAGTTGGACCTCAACTCATTACGTAGCCCAGACTGGCCCCAAACCCACAACAACCCTACTGCCTCAGCCTCCTGAGTGCTGGGATACAGGCATGCACCACCACACCGGGCAGTATTTTTTAAACTGACTCAAAGCGAAAAGCACCTTTACTATAATAAAAACTTAATTTGTTAGCTAGGCATGGTGGTGCACACCTGTAATCCTAGTACTTGGAGGCTGAGGCAGGAGGATCACTGTGCATTTGAAGCCAACCTGACTCAGTCCTAAAAAAATTAATCTGTATAAAGCTACTGATAAAATTTTTTAAAAATTTAGTGATGATTTAATGGCATCTTGTTTTGAAGTCCCACCAAGCTTTTGTCCTTCTGTCTCCATTGGTTTTATCATGTTGTATCTTACTGGATTTTATTATATATGATAGTATAAACATAATATTTTATGGACAAGGAGACAATATAGTAACCTTTATTCATTTTGTTAGTTGATTCTAAATACCCTGTAATACTTATATTCTCTTGAATGGTTTTACATTGTCTTTTTATGACACTATAGTATATGAAGGTATACTCAATTATTTCAAGGAAAGAGACACTATGGTAGCTACTGTTATGTCAGACTGTCTTGCAGTGAAACACTATGTTGCTTAAACTGTTCTGTTCTGACTGTTTTGTTATGTCCTCTTTTATCTTAATCTTTTTTTTGTAATTTAAAAAAAAAATTTTTTTAAATCTGTTTTTTCATGGATATGATCTGGAAGTTAGTACTTTACTGTACCCTTAGAAAATATTTTACTTGGATAAAATTACATCAGTTTAAATTGTTTACTGAACTCAGTGGGTTGTATAAACACTCTGCAAGTATACTCTGCAGTGATCTAAAAATACTAGATCAGAGAATGTCTTATATTTAAAGATGAGGTACTCAGTGTTAAAAAGAGTAAGATATTTATTTATACTTCTAGTAATGTTTTGACATTTTATTTTCATTTATAGGATAAATTATATTTTAGAAAATATACTCAAAATAGGGTGCTTCTATCTTAGGGAAACTAAACAACGTTAGCATGCCTGTTATTTAGAGAACACAATAAAATTTTAACTAATTTAGGTGATCTTATATTACCACTATACTCCTTTATCTGAAAAATAACCTTTCAAGTGATAGGCAAAATAGATAACTTTTAATATAAAATCAATCATTTCATTTTAGCAAAAAACTTAGATATTTCATATCCAGCAAGAAAATAAGATGTAAAAGCTGTTATCAACTGTATTAACTCTGCACTGAAATATAAGGAAATAGATAGCTAACTTTATCCTTAATGCAGAATTTCTGAATATCGCCTCAATGAAGAATTTTTCAGCCAGGAAAGAATAGGAGTCAAAAGCTAGAACAAAATTGTGCACATGGATAAAGTAACAAAGCTATAACACCGACAATGTACTACAGTAGTAGACTCACAATCAGAGAGTTATATAGGTGAAAAAGTAGAAATTAAAACAACATTTATTAAAGCATACAAGAAATATAGGTTAAAAAGATTTCTTGAAAAGCTACAGGTGTGACAAGCTAATCAACAAAACCCAAGGGTCTATAACTCTAAAAGTAGGTAAACAGAAAGTGGCACCCATGCAGATCTGAACATTTAAACAGCTGTGTAAATTAAGGAAATTTCTCTCCTCTTAGGACACAAGTTACCATACTTTAACAGAAAAACCTTTCCAAGACCTCCTCTTGAATTTTTAATGTGTTTATGTGTGTATACCTGTGTGAGCCTACATGTGTGCACACCAGTGCCGGTGAGTCAGTAATCCCCTTAGTCATGCATGATTGTAATGGACCAGAAGCAAAGTTAATAAAAATTCTGTATCTCAGTATACACTTCATATGTATCCATTTTGAAAGCTTGCAAAGCTAATGAGGAAATAAATTTCTCAAATGATACTAAGTACCGTAACAAGGTGTTTAGTGTAGAAGCCAAACTACTCTAGTTTGAGTCATCAGTTTTGGGCTAAACATTTAGTATACTTTTCACAGTTAACTGAATCTTTGTTAATTATGTCTCATTGCCCTCAGATGCTATAGGATTTTGCGTCTACTTTGGTATGTTTTAACATCTGCTAAGACAGACTACTTCCAAGTTGTATTTCAGGTTCTTAAATTTCTCTAATCTTTAAATAACTAAAATTAATTCTAATTTATAACCAAACATTGATTTTTATATTAACATCTGTGGCAGAGACGAGGAATTTCCTTTGATTTTTTAATATATGAATAGAAATTATTTCTTTCATATAAAAATTATACCAAAAAACTGATCATCACAACATTATTAAACAGAAGGACGTAATTTTTACATAATTAAGATTCTCCTGGAAGAGTCAGGCAAACATTATTTGAGAAAAAAATGGGCATCACTATAGAAATGCACAAATCACTATTACTAGCTGGAAAATATAATCTAGTGCAATGCTAGTAAACCTATGGCACATGTGTTATTTGTTTTTCTTCTAAGACAAAAGAGGTTATGTGTGAGTTGTATTTTCTGAACTAAAACCTCAGTATTCAGGTTTAACTGCTCATTGGCCTTTTGAGGTAAGTGAGTTAGTTTTGATTTAGAGCTTGCATGCTTGTCTCCAAAAGGTTTGCCATTATGGATTTCTTTACTTAAGATACGTCTATATTCAATATCCACTAAAACTGTCACATACTATAATTCTCACTTTTACTAACTACATTAATTAGTTATGTTTAAAGAAAGGCATATTAACGTATCTGGTTAATAAAACTCATTTCTTGTGCACGGGGCTAGGAAGAACTGTGTGGTATGTAATATATTCCAAACAAAAACAATCTAAGCTTTAAAACTGAACTACACCGTACTTTTATAAAATAATCCCACTTCACATGCATAAGAGCTGCCTTCCATTTTTAAAGGTAATAAAAGACTGGTTTTTAGAGACAGAGACCACACATTACCTTTCCCTGAGCGAAGCTCTGTTTAACACAGGGCTCTGAGAATGCTTCGGCAAAGTCGAGGGTGCTGAGTGGACGAGTAGGGTCCTTGCTGAGTGCTGGGGCTTGCTACATGACCTTGGGCTCAAGTACTCTTCACACCTTTCCAAAGAGTCATCAAAGTCTCTTCCATGGGGTGTTCTGATGACCTGCTTAAAAAGAGAATCACATCTCCATTCATATATATAAAACATAATTTGCATCAGCATAATACATAGTAATATTGTTTGTAGTAACATTATACATACATGCACACCTGACACATACAAACATACAAGTAAAAAAACAAGTACATGCCATAGTTACATAAACTTGAAAAGGGAGTAGTTATTCTTACCACTGTAAGTTTACTTATTAAGTACACCTGAATTTATTAATTTTATTTACAAATTTTATTGATTTAAAAGCCTCTGAGTAAGTATGAGATTGTTATAGGAGTTCATATAAAATAAAGTACACACATAAACTAAGTGATAGCCTAGTTTAGCTCTCAAGTCAAACAGAACTTAATTGAAATTCTAATCTAGAATTCATTTACTATTTCATTTTTTTAGGGAAAAACCAAGTAACAAATAAGGAGAGATAAATGAATAAAGTCCTGCTCTTGTGGAATTTATAGTCCTGTAAAATTTATAACTAGTAAGGGTAAACAGATTTAAAACATACATACATACGCACCAAGGTAAATGAGAAGAATATAAAGAATGTCAAATATATATATGTACACACACACACACACACACACACACACACACACACACACATACACACACAGTTTTACTTTATAGTCCCAGGCTGCCCTTGCACTGTGTACTGTGTAGGCCATGCTGGTCATGAACTCAAGGCAATTGAGTTCAGCATTCCTAAATGCTGGGATTATAGGCATATGCCACAATGCCTAGCTAGAATCAAGATATATTATGCACAGGAACAAATTACCTGTGATGAATGTGAGATTATATATACAATAAAATCAATTTTAAAAATAAAGGTTTCTGTTCTGAATAAAGAAAAATATACTCTTTATCTTTCTCTTCTTTGTCTCCCTGGCTGCTATGTCAAGGGTGGTCTATACAGGAATGAAGGGCAGAAGCAGGGAGATCAGATAGAAAATTATTATAACAAATCCTGGAAAAGGATGCTGGCTTGAACCAGAATGATAACATCCAAGATGAAAGGTGACCAAACTCAGAGTGCATTTGAAAGTCAGAGCTAACAGGCTGTGCTAATGAGACTGGATGTCAACGATGATACCATAATTTTTGGCCTAATCAGCTGGAAGGATTTTTGTGAATTAGATATATCTACCCTTCCAACTAGAAAAGTTGAAAAGTTAAGATATTAGGAGAGTCATTTGGGACATATGACTCTAGGAGAGTCTAAATGGTATTTTAAGATAAGACAGTAAGTGATATCAACAAAGAAATGAGTAAACAGGAGGGAGAAAATAGAATGGGGGGAATTAAGAGGATAGGAAGATGAGAAGGAAACATCAGACTGAGGAGTGGCTGGGAATACAGGAGAAAATCAGAGAATGTGAGCCTTTGGAAGTCAGTACAAAATGTATTTCAAGGCAAAGAGAAAAATAATGGGGTCGAATGCTTCCACTGTGGTTTAAATACTGTCTGTCCCCTCAGAAAAGCATGTCGAAAACTGATTCTCAACAAAACAGTGTTGGTTGGTGGGGCTGTCAAGTAGTGATTGGATCTTATAAGATGATTAATGCCGTTCTCAAGGGAGTGAATTTTATTCTTTCAGGAATGACTTAGTTACCAGAAAAGCAGGTTACACAAAGCTGTATCATCCCATGCTTGCTCCTCTGCACACCGTTTGGCCTTCTGCCTAAACACCATGTTATGATGAAGTACAAGGCCCTCCCATGTGGCCACCTGACCTTGTACTTCCAGCCTCCAGAACGGAGCCAAGACAAACATCTCTTCTTTATAAATCACCCAGTCACAGGTATTGTTATAGCAGTGGAAAACAGAGTATGACAACTGCTGACAGTTCAAGTTAGGAAAGACTGAATATGGACTTTGGATATTAGCAATGGTGAGTAATAACATCAGCATGAATAACTTTGACAGAATGATAAAAGTTAAATTCTGAAGTTGAACTGAAGAGAGAATGAAAAGAGAGGAACTGGATTCATTTAACAAATATGTGATTATCAGTCACTGTTGTAAGTGTTGGAATTACAATAGTAATCAAAGCAATGTGCCTAACAGATCATCATGTAGCAGTGCTATTTATTAAATGTGATCTTTAGGAAAACTTTAATCCTTCTCATACTCATTTCCCTAACATGTAAAACAGGCTTAATAGCAGCCTAATTTATTTAAAGGATCTTTTATAACATCTAGTATAAATTACACAATAAATTTAATATTAAAACACAAGTCCTATGCAGCTTTTTGCTTCACCATTACCACAATTTTCACTGCTTTTCAGAATTATACCACTATGTGATGAGTCAGTAAGCAGCTGAGAGAATCAAGTTTTCATCCCAGAACCAAAGAGTACATAGTTCATATGACTCAATTTCAACCCCAAATAAATTACCAGCAAAAGGATGGTCTAGACTGGTTTAATAAAAGTTTTTGCAGTGTTAAGTATTCACTGAAAGGAAGCAAATCCACAGTGAGTATCAAGACCAAGAAGCAGACAGCCTATCAGTGGTCAACAGTGTAAGTGAATGTGCTGAGAATTAATGGGAAGGGGTTGAGGCACTGGGCTTTCCCTAGTTATCTCCAACATTAGCCCTCAGACTACAGAAAGAGATTTTCTCCTCATTAATTCCAACTCCAATTTAGTCATGTTGGCCAGTACAACACTTCATTTTTCATTAACCCTTTCTTTTTTTCTGAAGAAAGAAAGTCAATAGAACAAGCAGAATTACAATCAAGGGCAGCAAAGAGGAAGGAGGAGAATGACCATCTCAACAGGGAGAAAGGAAAAGGCAAGATGAACGATGCTGAGGACCACACGCCCATCTCCATGGGAAAGTAACAGAGCATATCACAGAGGTGCTCAATAATATTCAACATTTATTAAGGATCTTCTATGTGTAAAGAACTGAAGAAGATAGAGAATAACATCAGAAAATATAAGCAACATCAAGCTACAATCCAGAATGGAAGACATAAAAAACAAGTAATGGTAAAACAATCAAAATAAATTAGAATTAGGGCCGGGATTTAGCTGAGTGGCACAAGCACCTGCCTGGAAAGTGCAAGGTCATGAGTTCGATCCCCAGTACCAAACAAACAAACAAACAATAAATAAAATAAAATAAAATTAAGTGGATATATAAGTAAGTATATAATGAGAACAAAGCCAGAAATGTATTCTTTTCATAAAATTAGACTATGTGTTTGTTTTGGAAAGTGTAATATCAAAATGGAAGGCTAGGTTATATACTTTAATAGTGGCATAGACCTTTGATAAGAAACCTTACCTTTAGAAGAGCTTTTCCGTAGCTTACGCGTTTCCCCTTAAGTTTATTATTTTTCCAAAAACCAAACAGAATATTATCTCTGCCTCATTACAAAAAAGTATATTTTCTGGATAACCGCTTATGAGTCCAAATAACTAAGTTCAAATCTCTGCTAGTGACAGGACCTAGAGCAAGTTATTTGCCTTATTTAAGCTTTGGCTTCCTTATGAATATACTAGAAAAATAATCTTACAGAATTAACCAAAATTTAAAGGGATAAAATTACTGAAGACATCTAACAGAAGGTTTACCTCAAGACACTAATATATATTTCCTGTTTATAGCATTTATATTTCAGCATAAAGAGGCCTTTTTTTACCCTTTTAAAAAGTTCTTTGAATTTATTTTCTATGATTTTACAAATACAATACTTTCAATATTATAATGCTTCAATTGTATCCAGGTTTTAAAATCTATTTTTAAGTTTATTTTAAGTTGTTACAGATGAAAACATTTTACAAACAGTTACAAAAGTTAATAAACCAAACTATGATTAATAGCATACCTTTCAAATCTGTGATTTGGTTATATCACTTTTAAGATTCCTGAAATGGTGCTTAAACAATAAACTAATGTATTAAATCATATTCATGACTATGAAATTTTTATACTTATAAGAACATGAAAGTAAAATTAATGAAGCCAAGAGTTAATTACTAAGTGTATGTGAAATAAGAAATTCACATATCCTAGCAACAGAGATACAGCTCAGTGCCACCAGTGCCTGCCTGGAAAGTGTGAAGTTGTGAGTTGGATCTCCAGTACCAAAACAAATAAATAAATAGAGAAATTCACTTATCCAACACATATGTACTGAAAGCCTACTTCATGTCTGGAACTATACACTGTAATCTAAAAGTTCTCCTTTGTTTCAGGGCAGGAAAATTAAGAAACAAGTATTAATTTAAACAGAACTAGCTGAGTAGTAGTTGCTAAAGTTTGTAGGAAGTAAGTTCAGTGTACATACAATATACAGTATGTCAAGAAGATACTATAATTTTGAAAGAAAGAGAAATAGATATAGATAACTAAGATCAGTTTCTAACTTCACTGATACCATTGCTTGGTGAATCTTTATATATCAGGCGAATGAGCAAGTACTATCTTATTTGATTTAAAAATCCACACATTCAGTATCTGGTTTGGTTCAAGGAAGTTGTATTTTGTACCAGAGCATAATTTAAAAGAAATTCTAAAAAAATAAAAATGATAAGAAAATGATTTCTAAATATATCAGTTATAGGGGGCGAAAGCCATCTTCTATTAAGCTACTGTTCAGTACAGACACAGAATCAGAGACGGAGACAGAGACAGAGACAGAGACAGAGACAAAGACATATCACACAAATGACTTTAAATCTGCACATCAACCTTACAAGGTAGGTATACTTCACACAAGAGGAAAATGAAGCAAAGCCACATGGCTGTTAAGCAGTGGAGTGCCAGGCCACTGACATTAAGAGGGATCCATGGCAGAAGCAAAAGGAAAACTCTCATAGTCCAAGCTTCACAGGATTTACACAAGGAAAGTCCTGATAATCTGATTCACCAGTAATCCTACACATAAGCAAAGGAACAAACTGATGAATTACTTGCAAGAAAGAAATCATCTCAACTAATGTTATAATGTGATCATAACAATGCTATCAAACTACTCAAGAAAGTAGAAGGAAAGTTATATGCTGCCTTCATCTGTAGTCATAAATAGGGAAGAATTCAAATAAAATACTAATAATTTAAATCCAATCATGATGGATTTTATTTTATTTTATTTTATTTTATTTTATTTTATTTTATTGTTGTGCTGGGGATCAAACTCACAACCTTGCACTTGCCAGGCAGGTGCTTATGCCATTGAACTCTTTTTAGTAATCTTTTCACTATTTGATCAGATGCAAAAACCTTAATGCTAGAGGGTAATCTGTCTTAGTAACAATTCTAACATGAATCTGTCTTTGCCACATTTTGCTATGAGTCTGTAAGAAAAATTCCCCGGAAAGTGAACAGACATAAACCACTAAACCCTCCTTGAGCCCAAGGACTGATATGTTCAGCTGTAGGTTTTCTTGTTTTTGTTATATATCATCACGCTAGCTCTTTACAGTAAAAAAATTGGCCTTCAGTCACTTTTCAAAATGTCATAAAACTGCCTCAGCTTTTTTTTCTTGTTTTCTGCCTCCAGATCTTTATTCTGAAAGTACAGATCTGTTAGGTCTTGAATTTGAGACAATTATTTGGAAACTCTAAGGTACAAGGTACACACACATACACACACACACAGAGTGTACTCCCTCAAAAAATGTATACATCAGGAAAAGATATTAAATTTATTGAGACATCATGAAATAACACAAGTTACCTTTGGCCATTAACTTTCAGAGATTTATTATTAATATGACAAACTATTGAAGTGTATATGCTTTTTTTGGGCAGACTGTATATATATATGACCAATACTGCTGGACTTTTATGGGCTTGTTTCAGTTAGATTTATGCCTTCTTAAAATTAAAATCAAATTTCTTATACATATTTATGCTTTTATATGTACATAATTTAAATTCATATTTCATATACTTACATTATAGCTTTAGTTTTCAAAAAGAAAAAATTTTACCAAGGATATATTAGAACTACAGTGGCCACTTGGGAGAATTTTTAACATAAACAAATGTTCATTTGAAAGGTGTCTTAGAATGAAAAGGAGAAAAATCCCACATTTTTCTAATTACAATGACAAAAGTTTTTAGTGATCTGAGGAACTCTTGAAGATCATTATGCAAAATAACAACCCTAGTTATGCTCATACCATCTTGTTTTGAAGGCCTTTGTCAAGTGTTCTGGGTTCTTTGCTATTGTTTATATGTCTTTTTCATTTCGTATTTTTCTAGGAATTTGTTTTGTTTTATTTTGTTTTTCCCTCTAATACAGAAAGGATAGGTATACATGTAGTGACTCACACATATGTAGAACTTTTAAAAAGTTTATGAGAATCGATTATATAATGCACGATGAAATGAACAGCTATTTTGAAGAAAAGAGACACTAAGGTACTCAGTGCTGATTCCCTAGCATCAAGCTGTGAAATCCAGCAATACTATTATTCTTTGTTCAAGGTGATATTAGCCTGTTTTTTTTTTTTTTTTTTTTTTTTTTTTAATTTCAACATACATGAAGGTATGGTCAGCTATTTTGAAGAGAATGAGAGACATTATGGCAGCCATTAATGTCTTCCCTATTGTCTGGTCCTGAACACCTAAAATGCCTTCATCACCCTGTTCTGATGAGTTTTATACTGTTTAGTTTTATATGAATTCATTGTGTGTGAACATATGGACAACTATTTGGAATAAAACAAGAGATAATATGATAGGCAGTGAAGATCTCCAGTTGTCTTGCTTTGAAATCTGTGTCTCTTCATTGTTATCTTATGATCTGTTTTGTTCTGCTTAATTTTACATTGTTTAAAAATAAAATTTTTTTAAAAATTTAAAAATTCAGAGTCCTAATTATTTTTCTTAAAAGTCATCCTGACCAAAGGAAAAAAAAATTTTTTTGTCTTTTTCCTTTTTATCAGTACCAGGAATTGAACTCACGATTGCCTGCTTGCAAGGCAGGCGCTTATGCCGCTGAGCTATATCCCCAGCCCCCAACCAAAGAAAATTTTTTTTAAAAATTAAGATTTAAAATTTTTGACACTTTCACATTTTAACTCAAAATAATCAGCATTTATTTTATAATTTCTTATTCCCACCCCATGCTTTCCTTTACTGAGGACCTTGTTCTTTCTGCCTATTTTCCTTCCCTTCTAACTAGCCAGCAACAAAAGTCATTTCTTAACGTTAAATCTTCCTTAGAACTCACAAATACTAGATGGTTGATTTTTTAATGTCTGATATATCTCTCAGCTAAACGCCATGTCAGATTCTACATTGACTAGTGTAGAATCAGGAATTTGTGGAAGATGTTAGAATTTTGTAAACTTTAAATTAGTCCTTACACATATTTTCCTATATCCATAAATGCTGTCATTAAATGAGCTATAAAAATAACAAAATTCTAGGACTTGTTCTTAAGACCGCACAGCTAAACTTCTTTCACTGCAGCCTGCCTGGGTTTTCCTGATATTTCTGTCTAACTCCTAGGGGAAAAAAGTCTAGAAATATTTTATTGAGATCTTGATTTTAAAATTATTCTAGATAAAGGAAAACAAATCTTTACAATATCAAGGCCTTTTCCTCATTTGTCAAGCCTCCTTTTCATCAATTTTATTATCTAACATCTCAGCTGCTATCAATTTCCTTTACCATCACCCAACCCCAGCTCTTATCATGCCTTACTTTGCTTATTCATGTCTTCTAATTTGTCTACTAGTACTTGCTCTTTTCCCAGGCCAGTTTATTTTCCATGCTGTCATCTATAGTGATACTTTCAAAGCATCTGAAACTGTGAATTTAATAATGTCACCTTGGTGTTTAAAATAATTTCATTTGCTCTAAACTTAATTTCCAAAATTTGAAACATAAAGAGTTGACCTCTCCCTATTTATCTGGCTTCAATTTATTAGATGCACCTACTTATGCTTTTACTTCATAGAATACTGTTCTTTTAGCTACTAAGTCTTAGATAAATGCTCTTCTGCACATGCCCTTCCTCCGTATTTTACATAAATTCCCACTCCTCTTCAGAGCTAAGGATGCTCAAATTGCATTTTTCATTCTCATTGACCAAGTCAAATCTGTAGTATGGTTATACTTAAGATCTCAAAGATCCAGGTGTCAAAATCTTGTTCCCCAGTGTAGGGCTATTAGGACATAGTGGAAACTAAGATGTGGGCCCTAATGGGAGATCTGTAGGTCACTAGAAGGATGCTCTCAAGGGGGAAGTGGAACCCACGGTGTCCTTTCCTCCTTCTCTTTTGTCCCTTATCTCATAATACAAATGGATTTTTTCGCTAACACATGCTTATAAAATATGTGCTGCCTGGCCACAGGCCCTGACCAATAGAGCTAATGAATCATAGACTGAAATCTATAAAACCATAAGCCAAAATTAACCTTTTCTCTTTTTTAGTTGACTGTTTCAAGTTATTTGTATAGTAATAGAAAGCTACCCGCGAATATTATCAAAGCACTATATGTCTTATATTTACCACAGTTCCAGTTCTATCAGAAATTCGTTACTATCTCTCAAACTACCACCACCTAATAGCCATAAAAGCAGAGATGATTTCTAGTTTAAATTTTATGCCTAGCGTAATAGTTTTAGTCCAAGTATTTTTTAAGAGAAGAGAAATTGAGATTGGAGAGGGACCGCCAGTTGTCTACCACCACACACCTTTCCCTTTTTCAAAGTCAAACTGTTGCTAAGAGGGAATGTGAGTATTTCTTAGCAATGCAGTTTAGGGACAACATTAAGGCTCAGGTTTTTAATAAAGAGATAAGCATTCCACATGTTCTTCATTCTCTACCATAAGAGGACAACAAGGCCACAAGACTTTCATTGTATACAAAAAATAGCACACAGATTAAAATCATCTTTGATTTAATTATGTGATCAAAGATTAAATTTCTATTATATTTAGCTTCTGAAGTTTGAAGGTTTGCCTGAATAGCAAATAGCATCACCCTGACCAGTTCAAAAACTGGTATCTTTAAGTACTAACGTTATCAAAAATCTAAATACGCAGTGGCATACCAGTTAGGGTCAGGCAGCAAGAGAACATTCATTTTGGAATAGAAAACACTGAATCCACATAAAACAATGACAAAACAGTTAAAACTGTGGCCTGTAGTATCTTGGAAAACAGATCTGTTTTCAAGCTTTGACTCTAAGGAAAAATGGGAAGAAAGAAATATCACTGTAGGTTGGCTTTTACTTAGTTTTATATTTAGCAAGGTCATCGGCTCATACAGCATCAACTGAGTCTCACTTAACTGGTACTGGGATGAAGAAAATGTGATACATAAATGTAAGGGAATTCTATTTGGTCTTAAAAATAAATGAAATCCTGTTATTTGCAACAACATGCATGAATCTGAAAGTCATGATGCAGAGTGAAATATGCCAGGTACATAAGGACAAATATTGCATGATTTCACTTACATGTAGAATCTAAAACAGTCAAACTCATAAAAGCAAAGTAGAACACTGGTTGCCAAAGAGTAGAAAAGGGATGCAGAAATGCAGAAGGAATTGGTCAAAGATTACAAAGATTCTATTAGGGAGAAAAATTTTGGAGATCCATTAGAAAATATGATGACCATGGTTAATAATGACTAAAAGAATAAATCTGAAATGTTCTACATGCAAAAAATGAGATGCTAGATTTAATCACTTCTCAATATATGCATCAAAATATCAAATTGTACAGTTATATAGAATTATTATTTGTCAATTATATTTTCATAACAAAATTAATCTTTTGGTGATAAGAGGAAATGATAAGCTTAGGAAGAAACTAATTTAAGAACAGAAATAAAAGGATATAGAAAATTTCTAGTGATTGAGGGGCTCTTAGGCCAGAAAAAATGAAAGCCAACTGCTTTTGAGCCCCAACCTTAAAGCCAACAGCTTTAATGTTAAAAGATGAAATAAAATTTTGAGCAAAAACACCCATTAAGACTTTTTAATTAAACAGAGGTATTAAATCGTAAAACAAAGATCTGACTAAAGGTGTTGTTTCCAGTCTAACCTGGCTCAGATTGCCTCCAGGTATATGCCAGCGGAATATACAGACTGAGAAGTATATTAAGGAACCAAAAAGTTACTAGAAATCAGCTGTGTAATAATATCTCACATGCATTTAAAATTTTTGCCTAATGACGGCTTTTCAATTTCACAGAATGGCTTGCTTTCTCTTTTAAAGAGATGTAAGGACTTTTCAGTTCTGAAAATTCTCATAAAATTCATTTCTGCCAAGCATTTCAGTAGTAACAGATAAAATAACATGTATTTGAGACTCCAACAGTGGAAAAGAAGGTCTAAAAAGAGATAGCAGAGATAGAGGTAGACCTAAGTGGAATGATTTTGATTTTTTAAAAGGATCTTTATAGAACCTGCTTTCTGCCATTTAAAATTGGGGAAAAATTTCTGTTCAATTTATACACTGCATCTAACCCAGTAATATAATCAATACCAAAAAAATCCTTTAATATAGGAATCCACCATACAAATACAAATGTATGTCCTCATTTTTATGGCCGAAAGAAATAGTCAGTAAAAGTTAGATAGCTAAGAAGAAATTAATCTGAAATGAAATACACTGAAAATGTCATATGTACTTACAAAATTTTATACATATTTTGAAAAAAAATCAATGTACAGTATTAAGGATTAATGAGGTCAAAAGGGTGGGGCCTTAATTTTATAAAGCTAATATTTTTGTAAGAACAGACCCACAGAACTCAGTGTGTCTACCATCTGAGGACACAGAGAAAAGCTAGGAAGAGAAGGCTTATCAGAACTGTAAAGATCCTGGCATTCCCAACCTCCAGAACTGTTAAGAAAATTTCTGTTGACCCATTAATGATTTCCAATTATCTTGTTTTGAAGCCTTGTATTGCTTTACTTGTTTTCTTTTAATTGATTTTATTGTTTTCTTTGATTTTACTATGTCTGATAGTATAAGTAGCTACTTTGAAGATAAGACGTGTTATGGAATATGCACTATTGTATTCCTATTATCTTGTTTTGAAGTCCTGTATTGCTTTCATAGTTTTGTTCTGATTTGTTTTATTTTGTTCTGATTTGATTTTATTGTACCTGATGGTATAGGAAGTTATTTTGAAGATAGCAAGAGGCATCATGGTAGCCATTGTTGGTTTCCTTTTATCTTGTTTTGAAGTCTTGGATCACATTCATTGTTTAGTTTTGATTGTCTCTGTTCTGTTTTATTTTGGTTTTTATTTTCTTCAAAATAAAAAAAAAAAAGAAAATTTCTGTTGACTTAGCCACCCACTCTAGAGTCTTTGTTATAGGACCCTAAACTGAGTAGAACAGATATAATGTTAACTGGATTTAATTGAATTCACAGTATTTTAATAGCAAGCATTATATATATATATATTTTTTTAATTTTTTTTAAATTTTTGGTCTTTTTCATTGTTATCGGTACCAGGGATCGAACTCACGACTGCCTGCTTGCAAGGCATGCACTTATGCCTAAATCCCCAGCATTATATATTTCTTTTCTCCACATATTGAACTGAAATACATTAAAAATGTTATATGTTTTTACAAAACTTTATACATATTTTGAAAAAAATCAGTGTATAGTATTCTCTCAAATCTAGTCTAAGATATAAAAGGTAACATAATGAATATTTGAATATACAAATACTCAAGCATGACTAGTTTAGAAAACATTAAATGTTTGTACTTGGTTATATACATAAGTTTGGAATTAAAAATCTAAGAAGTTCAGACATGCAGGAAGCCAGGAAACAGAGTTATATCGCCTTATGGTATAACATTTTTTACAAAACACAGTATTTTTACACACTTATATAATATATAGTATATATAAAAACAATGAAAGATGCATTGTTTTATGTAGACTTAACCTTTAGGTTCTAATAATTATCTATGTTTCTCACCTCCATAATACTTGGTAAGACAGTTGAAAGCCACGTATCACATGAGACAACTCTTCACTGTTTGGAATTGTCTTGCTCTTTACAGAAAATCTATCCTTTCAGCAACTACCCCTAAATAAATGATGTCTTTGGCAATGTCTAGAATGCCACTTATAGGACAAGGCAATCTCTACTGAGACTTGGTGTATTAAATGAATCAATTATATACAAGACATATGGAACTACACATGGGAGAAAATAAGTAATCTAGGTAACAGTGGAACAGAAAAGAATGAGCTAAAGACTGGAAATATCTGAGTAGGGCCGGGAATTTAGCTCAGCGGCACAAGTGCCTGCCTGGCAAGTGTGAGGTCATGAGTTTGTGAGTTCAATCCTAGGTACAAAAAAAAAAAAAAAAAGAAGTATCTATGAGGATAGCTGATTATTATGTGTTTGGGATAAAGGATGTTGAGTTTTGCTAAAAGAACAGATAAAAACTGATAAACTAGAAGTTAAAAAAGGAAAACCAGTCAAGATAGAAAGTAAAAATGCTAAGGAGCCATTATCCTTCAATATATATTCTCCTACCAAACTAGATGCACCCAGTAGTTTTTCTTTTCTCCTAAGACACTATTCTATTCCAAATTATAAGATTTCATGTTGTTTTCCTTTCAAGAAAATCCTGTCTCTCTTGTTTCCAGAGAACTCAGGAAAAGTCTCACTTTTCCACAAAATTTTTAGTAAGTACTCCTAACTTGATGGTGAAAAAGAGCCTTATAGAATTCCCAAGGTATTTGACTATCTGAATATGCACTGACCAAATACTGTGTGCCGGTAAGAAAATAAATCTTTGTTCTTTCAATTCTGAAAATACTCTGCTATGAAAATCTACCTTTTGTATACAAAAGCAACCTGTGATCTTACCCACTAGGCACCGTCTTCTAAGGAAAGTTCTGAAAGTAAAGAATTCCAAGGTAGAAGTAGAAGAGAATTAAAGATGAAGTATATAGTTCTTGGCACCATACATTTGGAAAGAAGGACATTTTATATCTACCTTCAAATGAACCCACTTATAGTTGGACTATAGCTACCTTAGAGAAAAATATTAATGTTCCATAAACTTCATCCATTTCTCTTTATATTTGGTTTACTTCTGTTTCTTAACAATCCACTCCTATAATGCACAATTTTAGGAACACACACTATATATGAAGGTAAGAGCAATTATTAATTAGCAAAATTAGTAAGGTCCTTGCCATTCCAGACCTGACAGATTAGCTAGAAAAAAAACTTTAAACAAATGTATGAATACATATTTAGTTATAAGCTGTAGTATATTATTTGAAGGAAATAGGTTTGATCATTGAGCAATATTTTTTATTTTGCTATTAGTGCTTCCACACACAGACACACACCACTCACACACATCTATGTGTTTGTGCATATATTATGACTGAATAAATTTTACATAGTAGAGTGTGACTGGACTTGGTGACTTATGCCAGGCCTGAACTCCTCTAGGGGTAGCCTTAAACAAAGCATAAAGCTACGTGAACACTATACAAGAACAACCTTTTTAATTTGTGTTGTATTTCTAGTCTAGACCAGTGGTATTCAGATGCAAATCCTTGGATAGGTGGAAAAGAGCTGTGTAAGAATCACTGAGACACTTGTTAGAAAATTCTTATCTCCTTTGTCAATAATTTCACGTTAGTAAGCCTGAAATGAATTGTTAAAAAGCTCTACCTCAATAATTTAGACACTGAGATTTGGGCCCTCATCATACAGCTTCTTGACTCATTAACTGTTTCAGATTTCTTTATCACAGTAAAAGCACAGCACATGTATGTGTATTCCATACCAGGAAGTATAAACAAAATTTTCAGGTAAATAAACACAAGTATTAAAAGGAAAGCTATATTTTTGTATTGTTTTGTTTTCTTAAGTATAGTGAAACTAGTAAGAAGTTTTCACTTAGGGAAAGAAAAAACATAGTGAGGAAACACTTCTCACAATGAGGACATGGCTTTAGAGTGTGGTAATCAGATAATTTAATGTGGTTGCCAAATAATTTTAGATGATACACAAGATTATTCCACATGACTCATGGACATATACTAATATTGCACCACAGGAAAAAACAGCATTACTTTTTCAACTCTCCATCCATCAGAAGTCCTCAGTTACCTAGAGTATGTGTCTCACACCTACCATTTGTCTCATGAAAAATAGAGAGCATGCCTGCCAGCACAAATCAGGATCCAGCCAGATTTTAGTAATGCATTTTTAAGGCAATTACCCAAATAAAGGATTTCATAAATAGGCAAATTATACTTTTTTATCTTATAATAATGAGATGAATAAAATGAAAGTGAATTTAAACAAAATAGTATAAATTAATGCAGATATGGCAAAAGTTATGGCAGTGTGTGAGTAAACTGAAATTTGGAGGTATTATTTTGGGAGCCATTATTAGAAGTAACAACCAATTTCTCTTTCTCACACACACATATTCAATAATCAATAAATCTAATTAATAATCCAAAATTCATAAAATATTTGGCCTACTATATCACTTGGCATAGTTGCCAAAATAGTGGGGCAATTATTGTATTGTGCATTTTTAACAGATGAATTTTAAGCTATTTTCTGAAACCTAGAATAATTATCATTGCATAATTTATTCTACATACCTTATAATCCTTAGACCGGCAGCAGCCAAGATGAGAATGATCTGAAAAAGGTTGTGCAAAAGAATTACAGTATAAATGTCATACCAAAAGGGACAAAATTTGGTTTTATCTATGATTTTTGCTACTGTTTCTATAATTATAATTCATGTGGCAGACTTTAGAAATACTTTAAAACCCTTCAACAATGTTACAAAAACAATCAGCCAACAAATTAAAATTGGCATCCATTCTTCAGTAATAAAATGATTTCCCAAATGCTATATTCACTAAAATAGGAGGTATCAATACAGTCGGGAATAATTTTTACTTGAAAAACTAACTTGGGTAAGTTTTTGCTGATAAATTAGTCTCTGATGATACATTTGAATTTTTAGATTTAATAGATAGTGTGAAACAACATGTGCTCTTATTCTTGGAATTCATGCTAGAATCTCCAGTGCAGGACCAGCTTCAAAGGATGGTAGCATCATACAGTGTACAAAAACTGTTGACAAATAGACCTGCACTGTATGTTTAAGGCCCACCCGCTGGCCATATGACCTTGGAACTGAACTTGCAAGTCAGGATTCCTAATCTTTCTGATGTACCACTCTTACAGTTTTAAAGAGCATGTTAAACTAAGTAAATGTTGACTATTATAAAATTAAATAAAACTAAAGGCACTAAAGTAAGTGTTTGCTGTTATTGCTAAAACATAAATTAGTATCACAAATATTAAATTCTGCCTCAAAAGATGTTTAATTTCCAATTCTGTCACTAGACATATTTTTCAAATTGCTAAACAATTAATTTGAATTTTATTTCTTAATTTTAGAATATAAAAACAATGCTTACCCTATCTTAGAGAGCCAAGTGAGTACTTAAATTATATGACATGTAAAAGGCTCTGGCACAGTATCTGTCACATAGTGGATTTTAAATACAATTCTAAAATACCTTCCTACAATGATAACTACTAAGTATATGTGCAGATTTAAGGTTTTATTAATTAGTCACCTTTTAATAAGCAATTTTTAAGTATTATAATCCTTAATATTTATAGCAAAAAATCAGAATCATAATTTACAACCTTCCTTCTTCATTTACATATTCTGATCAAAATACTATAAGATTATGTGTTTTACTTTCCCAAACAGTCTTATCCAGAAAAAAATATATATATTAAAAGAAACTTAGGATAGCCAGTGTTCAGCAAAGAACTTTCACTTTTTTTATGGCCCTAGATGTTGGTTTTCTATATGTTCTGAGTCATCTGAAAAGTCAGCTGAAATATCAGTGTTTTCACATGAGCCAACTTCCCCAATTAATGTAGGAAAGAGTCAAATTTACTTCTATTGCTTTTTGAAATTAAAAATAAAATAACTCTGGTCCACTGTTCTTCTTGACAAATCTAATGTAGTAAAACTAAAATTAAAACAAAGGCATTAATGTAGCCAAAGAAATAAAAAATAATGAGCATATACTGAGCCTAAGTCTCCAAAAATGCTAACTTTGAAAGTTAAGATAATTCTAGAAGTGGCATATATTCTCTGGAAGCTAGAGTCACATTAAATTTTTCAATGTGTTAAAGCACTGGTGTGTATTCTGCACTTTACAAACTACGTATAAATGTAAGTTAACTTGAACATGTTTATAATTTTATTTTGTTTTTACAAATTAAGCTATTATTTCTATCTGAGGTTTCCCAATATTCACATTTAATCACTCTCATCAACAATGAGGAACTAATCAAACTGAAATGCAGGAGACAATGGAAATAACAGTCATGTCCCATAGCCATGAAGTGGTTATAATCTACTTTGGTTAAGTTATATAAAGTTGAGTAAAACAGTATAAAGGAACAGGATATAGTCAGTATGGTACAATTAGTTATATAAAAAGTGGTATTACAGGGCAGTCCCTCAAAGTTGCAGGCAATCAGAAGAGGTTTATAAACATGGAATAACTTGAACTGGAAACAATAAATGGGTCCCCTTTAAGAAAAGGTTCAAGAAAAAGGAAGAGTTAACCAGATCTTGCGTGTATGATCTTGGACAACTTCAAAGCTCGGCTGTCCATATCCATAAAATGGAAATAATAAACTACACTTCATGAGGATGTTGTAATTATCAAAATGATACAAGGAACTTACCTAGAATAGGAGCTAGCATAAAAAACATTCGTAAATGTTAGCTGTTATTTCACTCAAAAATCTCATGAAATAGAATGTTATGGACTAAATATTGGAGTCTCTGTTCCAAGATTTGTATTTAATAACCTCTGAAGATAGAATTAAGAAGAAGTCATAAAAGTGGGCCCTTAGGATGGGACAATGCCTTTATGAGAAGAGGTCATGTGAATACAATGCAACATGGTAGACACCTACAAATCAAGAGAAGAAACGTCTTAATAAAACCTGCTTTCCCAAGACCTTGATCTAAAGGCTACCACAAGGCAGGTACCTTATTTACCATGGACTAGAAGAGTAGTAATCACCAAAGAAAATACTGAAGTGGCTTCTAAGTACATGAATATACATTTGATGTCATTAGACGTTAGGAAAATGCAAATTAAAATCTTAAGATGGGACTATACATCCACCACTGGTATGATTTTAAGAAATGACAAAAATGTCAAGTACATGATGAACTTGGCACACTCACATAGTGCTGATGGAAGCATAAAATGGTTCAGTCACTTTGGAAAATAGTAGGCAATTTCTTTAAAACTTAAAAATAAATTCATTGTAAGAATGGATTCCATTCCTAGGTATCTGTCCAAGGAAAATCAAATATATCTGTGCAGAGACTACAATACAAATGTTCACAATAACTTTCTTAATAGTAGCAAAAAGGAGAAATTAATCCAGGGGCTGAAAAGGGGAACACAGCTGACTGTCAGTGAGTACACAGAAGACATGGGGTGATGGAAATGTTCTAAAACTGGATTTGGTGATTTAACAACAATTCAAATTTATTCAAAATCATTTAATTGTACATTTAAAAACAAATCACACTTAAATAAAGCTATTAAATATTGAATGAAAAAATAAATAAACCAAATAAAGAAATATGCCTACAAATGATGAATTTAGCTGGTACTCCTCTTCAGGGAATCCAGAAAGAAACACATTTAAATAAAATCTGAGACAAATGAGATATTTTGCTAGTAAGTATGCATATGAAGATTACATGGTATTTTGTTCAGATAGTATGAAAATATTAATATTGAGCACTATCTATTCAAAATATGACATTGAAATTTCAAACATTTCTTCTAATTTTATTTTACAAATGTAACTATCAAACAAAGAATCAGTGTAAGCTTGTAAAAATTGCAACCTTATACAAATAAAAATCAGAAAAACATCTTCATATGAAGAGAATAAGAAGTATTTTCTCAAAGAGAGGAGTCGGGAGTCTTACATCTTTGTTGAATTCCTAAGTAAACAGATCAAGATAATACCATTGATTTTCTTCAAATACAAATAAAGGAAGACTAAAGTGCCCAAACTCTCGAATTACAAGGGATACTGTGTTTCTTCAAAAGGACTACATAAATTTTAACCAGAATTAAGCGCTATGACAATTCCAAATAGAGACAATGTACTTTATTAAACATAGAGAAAATATTAGAACTTGAAAGGAGAAAGAAAGAACTTGGAGTTAGAAGACCTAGCATGGTCATTTTGTAGCTCTCCATATGTACCTTAACCTCTCTAAGTCTTTGTCATTTTCCTCAATTAAATTCAGTTAAACCTATTGAGACACAATTCTTATGAAGGGTCAATGCTGGTGAAAGCACCATCCCATGACAACTTACAAATCATTAGGCAACACAATTTGGCAAGAAAATGTTCAATAAGAATATCTATTAGTATAAGACTACAAATGAAAATTCACTGTTTAAAAGACCTGACCTTCAAAAATTCCCATATATATGCTGGGTAGAAGCACCTGCCTAGCAAGCACAAGGCCGTGAGTTTGATCTCTGGCACAGAAAAAAAAAAAAAATTCCCATATATGTAAATAATAATAAAAACCTGACACAGAAACTATTCCCACTGTCAGTATTCAAAATAATTGGGGCATTAAAAGAAAAGAAGTAAAATTCTTTATAGTAAAAAGTAAACTAATAAACGTTCAAAGAGAAATAGAGTTTTAAAAGCTTACTATTTGGCAAACCTCACAGTAATAAATTGTTTCAGGCAATTATCATTCATATATGCTAAAGAAGTCAAAATTAAAGGTGTAATAGGACATTACATATCTTAGAAGTATCTCCCCATACATACAAATGGTAGAAATAGTACTTTAATGCTGTAGAAATGTAACCAAATCACTTTCATCAAGTGAGAAAACTTTGTATTACCAGTAACAAAGTAAGACCATGTACTTTCTGACTTGCACTGAGAATAAGACAAAGATTCTGTTCTACTCTGGGAAAAAAAGTCAATAAGTCTAATCACAAGGAAAAAAAATCAAACAAAACAAATTTGGGGCAGTATACAAAATTGGCCTGTGCTATTTAAAATTAAACTGTCATTAAAAAGAAAGAAACTTTAAGAAATTGATCCATACTACAGAAAAGTAAAAAGTGACAAATGAACACTGTCATGGGGTTTCTTTTGATAGAAAGGAACAGTTAGGGCAACTAGCAAAATCTGATTTAGGGTTATAATCTATTATGATTTAGGTGTATAATCAGAATATAATCAATATGATTATATCATGTCAATTTTACTTCTTTTGGTAATTATATCACAAAAGATAGAATCTGTATTAGTCTGCTTAAGCCATCATAATAAAATATCACAGACTTGGTGGCTCTGAACAATACAAATTTCCACAGTTCAGGAACTGCAAGTAGGAAATCAGTGTGTCAATATGGTTGGCTCCTGGAGGAATCATTTTTCCCAGTTTGTAGATGGCTGTCTTCTAGCTGAGTCCACACAGTAGGGTGGGGGTTCCTCTAGTCCTTTGTTACAAAGACATGATCCCACCATGAGGGATACGCCTTCATCTAAGCCTAATCAGCTTCCAAAGGCCTGAGATCTCTAAATAAAATATCACATGAGGTGTTAAAGCTTCAACATACAAATTTAATACAGGATGAAGTCCTCGTCAAAAAAGTTTATATAAAGATATATGTGCTGGCAGAGAGCTGATAAAAGGGAAAGAGAATGTTGATCCCAAATGAAAAGTATATGGGGAATGCTTTGTACTACTGTCCAATTTTCTTTAAGTGTGAAATGATACAAAAATAGAAAGCTAAAAAATAAACCAATCCAGTGATCTTTCTGATCTATCTCTACACATGCAGACTTTCAGTTAGTAGTTATTGAAACTGTAACAATTCCGATGGGGAATACATAATACTCAAGCAAAATCAAATGCTTACCTGTTAAAGAAGCTTTCTGAAGAAATGTCTATATTGAAGTTACTTTCCATTCGCTTGTAAACACAGCTCATTTTCTGTATTTATAAATTTCTTCTAATAGTATAAAATCTGCTTCTAATTTTATATAATCTACTGCTATTGGTGTAAAATACTATTGATTACTTCACCTCAGTGCTACATAATAAACTGTATTTTTAGAAAAAATGTTTCATTTATTCATTTTAAAAGAGGCTATGAACTGGAAAAAACAAGAGCTCACTACAAGTAATGATTCTATTTTTCTTTCACTCTATCTCAGTTTTCTTCCTCTGTGATTTTCTCAGTGCATAGTAAACTAACTTGACAGGATACTAGTCAGTATTTGCTATACTTGGCACAGTCTCCAAATATTAATGTTCACCTGTCTTTTACTATTTAAACTTTTTTATAGAACTTAAGAATTTTATCTAACCATTAGGACTGAGGCTAAACATAGAAATTTCTTATAAATTAAATGTAAAGAACATTATCTTTTAAGACACCTAAGTAATAAATAGTTATATTGACAGCCAACATTTACTAAGCGCTTATGTGCTAATTCATTCTACATAGCAATATTTCCCTTGTTATCTTCATTCTTTAAAAAACTAATTATTAAAGCAGTTAATATTACCTTTTCAAAGATGCCAAGTTTATAGATAAATGGCAGAGCAAATATTCAAATAGTATTCAAATATATCTAAATAGATGTCCCAGCCAGTAGTCCCATCCTTTTCGGTACCAGGGACCAGTTTTGTAAGAGACAGTTTTTCCTGGAGTGAGCAGGTTATATGGCAGGGAGTGAGGGATGATTCCAAGGAGCAGGCAACCTAGATCCCGAAGGCTGGAAGTTCACGGTATAGTTTATCTCCTATGAGAATCTTATACCTCACACTGATCTGATAGCCACTGGAGTTCAGGCGGCCACGCAAGCACTAGGTGTGGCTAGTATGCAGATGAGCTCCACTGCCCCTCACCCTGCTGTGACAGATTCTGGGTACATAGCCCTGGATTGGGGAGCCCTGCTTAAACCCACAACTCCAAACTTCTTTTTCACACAATTTACCCAAATTCATTTTACAAACTAACATACATTATGGTAAAAAAAAAAAAAAAGCGTTTCCCAGACAAATAAGCTTAGAAAATCTGAGAATAAAATTAGTCAAATGATGTTTTATTGGAAGATATCAGAATCTTAACCTGCTGAAAAGTATTAAGAATCTCAAAGAAGGATATGATTATAGGCAATATATACATTCTATGACTTTTAGGGGGTATCTATAAGTGTACCCACACATTGTTTAAAAAAAAAAAAACAGTATCATGTCATCAAGTAGCTCAGCAAAGATTCTGTTTCCATTAATTGATGCCAAGTTAAAAGACTCAACTATAATCCAGGCAACTAACCAATGAAGAAAGACAATATCAAACTTACCATTGTGCACCCTGGCCCACCCATCTCTTTCACAGTCTCTGCCGGAAGGTGCAAACAAAGTATCAGTCCTGGGACTCGGGGGATCAACCTAGAAGAAGCAGAATTCTCAATGTAAAAAGAGCCTAAGTGGTCCCTGTCTTTCAAACTTGTGACACCAAAAAAGTAAATCAAGGGCATGTATCACGTAACGAGTTAATATGATATGACCTGTATGCACCAGCCATGTTTCCAGGTAAGAGTTGTTTTCCTAGTTATATTTAAACAAAATTGAAATTAAATTCCAGAAATAAATAAATATATTTATTTATATTAGTGGTACTGGGAATTGAACCCAGGGTCTTTGCCATGAGCTGGATCTCAGTGACAAGAAAAAGCTATCAAACATTTTAAAAGCAGTTATTTTCCCAATGTTTTTATATCTAACCCCACAGTACTGATTTATTTTTATATAGCAGTATTCTTAAAAAATATTACTATCCCTTCACAACAGGATATAAAATAGCCTTTTTAAAAATTGTTAAAATTTTGTTAGTACATGTTTGCAGTTCACGCAGTTTACAGTTCTTTGGGGGATTGGTCACATGTACATATTGCCGCTTGTTTCTCCTTTTTTTTTTTTTAATCTTCTCTTTCCATCCCCCTCTTTTCCTTCCTCCTCCAATTCCCTTGTCCCACTTTTAATTCTTCCTGATGTTATTAATCATATCTCATGTTATGGTATGTAATACTCACAGTAATTGAGGTTATTAGGTTCCTGTCCATTGCATAGCGTTTTTCTGGTTATTTCCCCTTTCTTCTCCTCTCTGCTTGCCCCTGTTCCCTCAGGCCACTTCCCTATTTTATTAAGAGATCTTTCCCTTTGTGTTCTTATAGCTGTCCTTTATTATTCTCTTTGTACTTTGCCTCAAACAAGAGCTACTGTAAAGTATATAAACTTGTGTGTATGGTTTATTTCACTCAATATTTTATTTTCCAGGTATATCTATTTTCCTGACAAGAGTTCAAATTTTGTCATTCTTTATAACCAAGTAGTAGTCCATTTTATCTCCTGTGTTAACGGGTATTCACACTGCTTCCAAGATGTAACTATTATGTATTGTGCTGCTATAATCACTGGTATACATATATTGCTGCAGTATGATGTCACAAGCCTCTCAATATCTAGAAGGGAGATAGTTGAGTCTAATTACAGTTCTTTAAGAAATCTTTATACTGATTTTCATAATGGTTGTACTACATTCTCACCACACCAAGGGGGTTCCTCTATCTCCACAGCCACCCCAGCATGTTGTTTGATTTATTAATGATTGACATTCTTTCCAGAGTAAGGTGGAATCTTAGCATTGTTTTAATTTGTACTTCAGTAATGTCCAGAGATGTTAAAGATTTTTTCCACATACTTGTTGATCATCTGCACTTCTCTATGAAGTGTTTGTTCAATTCTCTTGTTCATTTCTTGACTGGGTCTTTAAATTTAGGTGGCTTAATGTTTTTTATTTCTTTGTTTTAAATATTTTAGATATTAATCCTCTTTGTGAGAAGTAGCTGGCAAAAGTATTTTCTCACTCTGTAGGTTGTTTCTTCACTCTTTTTCTTTTGTGGCTTTTTAGTCTGATACAACCACATTGGTTCATTCTTGTTATTTCTTGTGAAATTGAGGAGCTATTTAGAAAATCCTTTCCTACACTTATGTCTTTAAGTGCTTTACCATTTTATCTTCCAGTAGGTTTAATGTTCGTTGATCTATCTTGCTTATAATTTAGTATATGGTGAGAGACAGGAGTCCAGTTTTCCATCTTGTGCAAAGAAATAACAAATTTTTCTATCACCACTTGTTGAATAGGTTATTTTGCCTGCAACAAACGTTTTTGTTCCCCTTGTCAAAGATCAAATAGTTGAAAGTGTCTGTTGAAGTTTCTGTATCATTAAATCTGTTCCACTGACCCACACGTTTTTGTTTCAGTATTAGATCATTTTTATCACTACTTTGTTGTAGAATAGCTTGAAGTCAGATATTACAAGGCCTCCTCCTTTGCTCTTATTGCCCAAAATTGCTTTTGCTGTTCTGGGTCTCTTCTGGCTACATATGAATTTTAGGATTGGTTTCCCTAGATCTGTAAAGTATGTGATTGTATTTGGACTGGGATAGCATTGAAATTGTATAAAATTTTGGGAGAATGACTATTTTGACAATACTGGTTCTGCCTGTCCAGGAGCAGGGAACATCTTTCCACTTTCTCTTTCACACTATTACAGTTTTCTTTGTAGACGTCTTTACCTCCTTGTTAATTCCTAATTTACTTTTCTTGAAATTATTGTGGACAGTATTATTTTTATAATTTCCTTTTCACCCAGTTCATTATTAGTATACACAAAATGCTAATTTTTTTCTATGCGTTGATCTTGTATCCTGTTACATTGCTGACGCCTGTTATTAATTCTTAAGAGTTTTTTGATGAAGTTCTTTAAGTCTTCTATATTGAGCATCATGTCATCTGCAAATAATGCTAATTTGAGTTCTTTATGTATTGCTTTTCTTTTTTTCTCTTGCTTAACTGCTCTGGCTGTTTCAAATATGGTGTTGAACAGAAGAGGTAATAGTAACATCCTTTTCTTTTTTCTGATTTTAGGGGAAAAGTTTTTAATTTTTCCCCATTTATTATGACACTGGCTATTGGTTTGTCATGAACAGCTTTTATCATATTCATGTATGGTCCTTTTGTCATACCTGTTTTCTTCAGGGCTTGAAAGGGTGCTAGATTTGTCAAAAAGCCTTTTCTGCATCTACTGATATGATCATATGGTTTTTGACCTGGCTCCTATTTATGTCATGTATTACATTTTATAGTCGTACCTCAGTTCACAAACCAATTCTCTCCACAATTCTGATCACAAACCAAATTGGAGGAAAACCAAATACAATTTTCACGTAAGGTCAACATTGAATTTGATTTGGTTCTTGTCCAACTTGGTTTGGGGCCAGAACAATGGAAAGAATCAAATTTGTGAACCAAGGCACTACTCTATTGTCTTACATATGTTGAAACATCCTTAAATCTCTGGTAAGAAACCTACTTGATCTTCACAATGTATTACACTCTATTTGCTAATATCGTGCTGAGGATTTTTACATTTATGTTCATTAAGGAGACCAGCCCATAGTGTTCTTTTTAAATTGAGTCTTTATCCATTTTGGGGATCAGAATAATACTGGATTCCACTGATGCATTTGGAAGCATTCATCTCTTTGAATTTCTTTCAAGAGATTAAAGAGTATTGGTGATATAATATTCTTAGACTCTATAGATTTCAGCAGTGGATCCATCAGGTCCTGGGGTAGATTCATTATTATGCTGTCAATTTCATTGCTTACTATTGGACTGCTAAGTGTATTTATTTATGCCTTCTTGAGTTAGTTTTGGTAGTTTGTTGTGTGTAGGAATCTTTCCATTTCTTCAAAATTTGCTAATTTATTAGAATACAAGTATTTGTTGTAGTTACTAACTTCTGAGTTTTGATAGTGTCTGTTTAATTTCATATTTTTCATTTCTAATTGCATTAATGTTTTTTTTTCTCTTTCTCTTGGTAATTCTAGCAAAGTACTTACAGATTTTATTTATTCTTTCAAAGACCAGTTTTTCAATTCATTATTTTTATGCTTGTTTACTGTTTTTTGTTTCAGTTTCCCTGATATCCACTCTCAACTTCATAATTTCTTTCCTTAATTCAGTTTGGGGCTAGTTTGTTGTTTCTCAAGCATATTAAGATTTCTCAGGACATTATTTACAATGGTACCTCGGTTCAGGTACTTAAATTCCTTCCAAGATTCTGGTTGCAAACCAAATTGGATGACAACCAAATTAAATTCAATGGTTAGGTTCACTGTTCACCTTAGGGAGAAATTTGACTCAGTTCTTGTGCAATTTAGTTTGCAACCAGAATCATGGAAAGACTTAAGTTCATGAATGGAAGTACTACTGTATTTGGGCTTACTGTTTTCCTAATGTGATCACTGACTGCAATGAATTTTCCTCCAACAAGTGCTTTTATAATATGCCAAAGGCTTTGATCTACTGTCATTTTCATTAATTTCCAGAAAATTTTAAATTTCTTCTTTGATTTCTTCTGTGATCCACTGGTTGTTTAGGAATATGTTGTTAATTTTCCAAGAGGTTTTTGCCTTTTCCAAAATTTCTTCTGTTGTGGATTTCTACATTTGTTGCACAATGGTCTGATAATAAGCATGGGGTAATTTCAATTCTTTTACAGTTACTTAACCTGGTTTTGTGGACTACTATGTAATATATTTTGGAAAAGGTACCATTGTGCTGCTGAGAAGAATGTATACTCTGTTGTAGAAGGTGGAATCCTCTGTATACATCTATTAAATCCCTATGTTTAAGGGTGTGGTTCAGTTCTGATATTTTTAAATATTCTTTATTGGTTTTTTGTTTAGTTGATCTATTTCTTGCAAAATTGAGGTGTTAAAATTTCTTAATATAATTGTGATAGCATTTATACAATCTTTTAATTTCAGTATTTTTGTTTTATAAAGATATGTGACCCTGTGTTTGATGCATATATTTTATCAATGCTATCTCCTTCTTAACTTAAATGATTTTGTTCGTCTCTTCTAATCTGTTTCAGCTTGAAGATTATCATGTCTGATATTAGAATTGCTACCCCTGCAAACTGATGTGAATCCTGTTTTTGGAGTCCCATTACATGAAATACTATTTTCCATCCTTTAGTTTTTAGTCTATGCATACTGTCTTTTCTTTTACTGCTAACACAAAATACCTGGCACTCAAAATTAGAGGAGGAAAGGTTTATTTGGCTTACAGTTTGTGGAGGTTTTCAGTCTATAATCAGCTGGCTCCAAGACAGAGTAGCTCTAGGCCGAGGGGCAACAGTTTTTGGCAGAATACAGCAAACGCAACAAGCAGAGAAGGGGAAAAGAGATAAGTCTCTTTCTGTCCCTTATATTACAGACAGGCTACCCACTCTAGGATGGGTATAGCAATTACACATTTAATCCCAGCATCAGACCATGAATCAATCACAAACTCTAGATTTAGCCACTTCTAAAAAGCAGCCCATACCCATGACTACATGAGGATTTGGGGGGACATCTAGACACAAAACATAACATATTTTCTTGGACTAGATAAGTTTCTCAAAGGCAAGACTGTTGGATTCTGCTTTTTGACCCAGTTTGCTAATCTGTGTCTTTCAACTGAAGAGCTGAGGCTGATAACATAGAGAGGTATTACTGAAACGTGTTCATTATTTACAGTCATGGTCTTCTTTATCTGTTGGTGAAACCTTTGTGTTCCTTTTTCTAATGCTTTTTGTTACTGTTTATCCACTGGCCTCACTAGTTCCCTGTGATTTTAGCTGTGCCCATTTTGTCATATCTGTCGAGAACATTTTTAAGTATTTTGGCAAGAGTTGACTTAGTACCCATATGTCTTTTGAGCTTGTCCTTTTCATGGAAATACATTATTTCTCTATCTATTTTGAAAGATAGCTTTGCTGGATAAGTAAATCTGGGCTGGAAGTTATTTGCCCTGAGAGCTTGAATATTTTACTCCAAGCTCTTCTGGCCTATAGAATTTTTGTTGAGAATCAGCTGTCATCCTAACTGGTTTATCTTTATGTGCAATTTTTTGTTTTCTTCTGGCTGCTTTTAAAATTCTGGTTAAAGTTTTGTTTTGTTTTTTGCTGGATATCTGGTAATTTAATAAAGGATATGCCTTCGTAAGCTTCTTTTTTCATTATACTTGTTTGGTTTTCTACTTGTATTTTAAACTCTTACACTTAAGAAATATTCTTCTATGATTTCTGAAATATGTTAGTAAATCCATCTGTGCTTCTTTTTCTCTAACTCCAATGAGCCTTACATTAGTAAGGCTTCTAGTAACTGATAGATAATCTCTTTTGTTCTTATTTTCTTTGTTGGCTTCTTTGAGCTCTTTGTATTAATTCACTATTTTGTTCTCTGTACCAGACATTCTGTCTTTATGTTAGTTGTTTTGGCAATTTATAAATTCTATACATTTTAAAAATTTCTGTTTGACATCTTTTTTGAGGATTAAATATCCTTGTTTAATCTGAAAAAACATGGAATATTTCCCAAATTTACTTAACATGTTTGCATAGGAGTCACGCTAATCTTTTCTGTGTCGTTACAATTTTAGTGTGTATGCTGCCGAAGTGAGCACCTTTTTTTTTTCAATTTAACTTGTAACTATAGGCAGATAATCTGAAAGGAAAACATTATCTAAATACTGTTCAAGCAACAAAAAAAGTAACCAGAATTGATAATCAAATTCAATAGAAATAAAACAAAGGCAACCATAATAATATCAGTAAAATACTATCACTTAAATATATCCATTGCACTATAAATTTTTTATAATAGTGATCTACTATTTTAGTTTAAAAAGTAAAGGTTTCATAATCAAAATATAAAAACAGAAGAAAATGTTTAAATTATATTTAATTTTTTAAAACAATTGTGATTAATTTTCTATGCAATGCAAAGAAAACTCTAAACTTTGAGATAGCGTATATTCAAAAAGTCTACAATTACACACCAAAGGGATAAGTAAACCATTTTAGAATTTCAGAAAAAAATAGTCATTCCAATTAATTTTATATACATCAATAATTTTATGCATATCAAAATTATCTTGCTTTTATAGTTACTTACATCTGGAGGTTTAGAATTTTATATATTAATGTATTATATATTAAATATTTTCATTATTTTGAAAGCCTTTGGTAAAGAGTTCTTTTAAGGTAAAAATTCAAAACCTTAGAAAACTGAAGATTCTGATATCACTTTTTAAAAAATATTTTGATCACAGATCCTTAAAGTTTAGCCAAATTCTATTTGAGTATCAGAAGGGACTCAAGCCTTTAAACTTCAACCATATCAAAAGTAGGTTTCAGTACAAGAACATTAGAATTATGCTACCTGGAAGTCAGCTGTCTTTCCTTCCAAAGGCCTTCCCATACATTGCTATCAATGATTTCCTTCAAAGATGCTTTATATGAGGCTTTCCAAAGGGACATAATTTCAAAGAAAACTTACTTTCCATTACAATAGTTTAAAAGGACAGAGTAAGTGGGGGTCTTTCTTTCCATAAATAACATTTAGTTCTCTTCTAAAATCCCACTCTGCATATTAGTGTTAACATCAATTACAGCCAAACTGAATTTGTAGATTTATTATGTGGTCTACCGTATAAGAAGAAGAAAAATGGGTACACAGAGGATTTAACTCTGTTCTCATAATGTAGCTTGATCTCTGTCAGGTTTAAAGAATGAAAAAAGTAAATTCTTTTAGTGTATCCCATTTCATATTACTGGGAAAAAATTCAAGTAGGAAAATTAATAATATAAAATAAATTAAATGAGGTTTCAGAATAATATTTTAGTGGCAGAAAATATTTGATCAGTTTCAAATATAAGTTTGAGAATACATACATGTCTAATTACAAATGGCGGTTTATCTGTTTCTTTTTTGAATTCATAGGGTCCTAGATTTAAATGGGCCAGCCGCCGCCTGGTGTCTTCCGACAGTTCACACATCCGTCTTTTTGTATACGGAGATGGAGAGTGTGATTTTGAAGAAATTGTGGGCTGTTCGTAGTTCTTTGCATTTACGCAATATTTACTTCTCTCAGGTGACTTGGTTTTTTTCTTTTGTGATCTTGATGTTCTGTTTTGTGGTCTGCCATGTGATTTTTCAACTGGAGCTGAATGGTAGGTAAATTTATCCTAAACATAAAAAATAGTAATTGATTTAGCCAGAGGACATATTTTCTAAAGTTTTACCAGTACCAAAAAAAAAAAAAAAAAACCTTTAAAAAGTAATTTAACCAACACATACAAAGTCTATCAAAGACAACCAGATCAGTCATTCCTATCTGTGCAGATCCTGGGGGAGCAAAAGGAGTCAAATTCATATTATTCTATATAACTCTGCATAGCAGCTAATAAGTTACATTGTATCAAACTTCCTTAATTCTAACAAAGACTATGAAGATTAAGGTGCATTATTTAAGTATTTTAAAAACCTAAGAAATAAACTCAGAAAAGAATTTTTTGGTATGCAGAAAAATTAATGCAAACTTTGGTTATCATTTATATTGAAACATTTAAATAACTGACTATATAATTTAAGAGAACCATACTTAGTAACATATGTGTAATTGGTTGATTATGAAATATTTATGGAGAAAACTATAAAAATAGGTTTCATGTATTGTGTTATAATCATAAATAACACACACAACACAAAAATCTGAAAAGCTTTATATTTATTTTAATGAAATATATTACTTGGGTTGCATAAGGTGAATAGAATATTATGGTTCTTTCCAAGCTATAATTTAATAATTCAATGAAAGTTAACCATACAACTCTAATTCTGGTACTAGATTTTTTATAAGGATAACAATGTAAAAAGATGCTATAAAATTTAATAACTGAGACTATGTCTACTGGTAAAACTGGTTAGCAGTATGAATTTATTTTTTAGCCTGTGGTACTGGAGCTTGAACACAAGGACCACTGCACTACATCCTCAGCCACTTTTTAAAATTTTTATTTTATTAGTATATATTTGCAATACATGAAGTACCTGCATTCATCTTAACAGGTACATGTACACAGCGCCTCTTGATTCTTATTTATTTCTTTCCCTCTATTTTCACTGTCATTGTTAATTACTGTTATTTTTAAGTTCACTTTACAATATATGTTTATATTCAGTGTGGGTATTTGGTACATGTATATGACACATCTTAAACCTTTTTATTCCCTACCCCTCAGCCCTTAGACTCGTGTACACTTTCCAGTGTGCAAAAATCTAGAAAGTATCTCACTAAAGTGCCCTGGCTGGCCTTGAACTAGTGATTGTTCTGCTTCAACATCCAAAGCAGACATGTGCCACCACACCTGGCCAGTCTAAAATTCTGATACTAAAAACAAAAGAAACAGAAAACTTGAGCTGGAAGAGGGGGCACATTCTCATAGTTCCAGCTACTCAGCAGACTGAGAGCTAAGTGGATCCCCTGATAGCAGGTGTTTGAAGTCAGCCTGAGCAACACAGTGAGACCTGATTTCAAAAAGTTTTAAAGAATTTTTGATAGCTCCAATTTTGTTACTAGGATACGACTTTGTTCAAATAGACTCTACCTTATAAATGCCTTAATAGATACAAGTAATGTAAGATTTCTTCATGTACTGCCTAGAATTATAAAGAGCTTTTTTAGTTAGAATAAAAGGATAATTGAGAATCATTGAATGTTTCCTAACTTTAATCACTTTTAAAAACCTTTGATCCTATTTCTAATTTCCCAGTCTCCTTTCTATTTACTAACAGTATCTAAGTAAATAAAGTACAAATGTGAACAGAAGGGAGAGAGTAAAAAAAAAAAAGTTTTATGATGGAAATACACAGGAAAGAAAATGTATTTTTCTAATACAAAAATGACTATTATCTTCTTTTGAAGTCCTGTAATGTCTCCAATGTTTAGATTTTATTGGTCTTATTCTGTACTGTTTTGTTCAATTTTATTATACCTAATGATACAGGCAATTATTTTTAAGGTAGCAAGAGGCATTATGGTAACCATTGTTGATTACCTTGTATTCTGTTTTTACATCATGTGCTATGATCCATCCTTTGTTTTGACTGACTGCTTTGTTTTGTCATATTTGGTTTTATTCTCTTCCAAAAAAAAAAAAAAAGTAGTAAGAACTATGGGAGTAATAAAACCCAAAATGTGTAAATGTTGTTGTAAAAAAGAGAGGAAAAAAAGTGCTCTAAAGGATACAACTGCAAGCGTGTTTAGGTGTGTTAAGATAGATCACCATATTACTAAGTTTTTGTTGGATCACTGAACACAACTGTTTGCAGTCTCATTGTCTGAATGTCCACTTTGTATACTTTAATCCTGTAACTTGAACAACTATTTCTAAGATGACAATATGTAATCTATTAACTAGTGATTTCTTACTGTTTTTTTTGAAATTCTGTATTACTTGTTCCCTTATACGGTTTTGTTTTTTTTTTCCTTTAAATAAAAAAATAAAATAAAATAAAAAATAGATTAAAATGTTAACTATGTTATGTACTGCAAATGCACACCAACACAAAATAAAATTAAAATGTCTTGGAAAAAGTCATAAAATTCATTAATTATGTTATATGCTACATAAGTTTACATTCTTCAATCTTTATAGCAACTATATGTGGAATTTGAGCCAAGATGTTTCTAAAGTGCATTTTCTACATTCTTTTTCTTTCCCTTCCCTATCATTTCTCTATCCTTTTTCCTTCCTTTCATTCTTCCTCTCTTCTTTATTCCTTCCATTTTCTTCCCTCTTTCTATCCTCCTCTTCCTTTCTTTTTGGGATAGGATCAAAAACCAGGATCATACATGCTAGGCAAGCACTCCACCAGAACTACATCTGTTGTACTAAAGCATATTTTCTAACACCAAAGCTTATCCTGTCACATTTACCTTTATAAAGACAAAATGACAAAAATTGAAATTGAAAGTCAAAAAAAGAGTCTTGCCAAAAATTCACAGTACAAATGTCAGTTCATATGTGCAAGGAAACACTAATGGGTAGCTTTCCATTTAAAAGGGTTGTTCCATTGTGTTGTGTACTTAGAATGTATGTATTTTTTAATATGGATGCTATCTTCCAGACAAAAAGCTTAAAAAGGAGGCTTTTTAACCCATCACATTAAGCATGGAGAGAAAAATTGTGAGTCCAGGAAAAAAACCTTCTAACAATTCACATATGTGCATAGTATGCATTTCTTTTTTTTTTTTTTTTTTTTTTTTAATTTTTATTTAAGGAGAAAAGAAAAGAAAAAAAAACAGTGAAGGGTACAAGTTATACAGATTTACAGAAGAAAAAAATGCGCAGTAGGAAATCACTAGTTAATAGATTACATATTGCCATCTTAGAAATGCATTTCAAAACCAAGCCAGTAAAATATCTCTGTGTTTGGAAAGCACAGATTATCAGATCTCTAACATCTGTGTTTCAACTTACATTTAAAACATAACTACAGTGTAATTCAAAACTGCTGCCTTGCTAAGCAAAGTAAGAATATTCCACTTAATAATTGTATAACCAAAGTCAAGTGTGGTGGTGGCCACCTGCAGTCCTAGCTACTTAGGAGGTTAAAGTAGGATGCTGGCTTCTGCCCATGAGTTCAAGACCAGCTTGGGCAACCTAAAGAGACATTACACCTCAAAATAATAATAATCGTTCCTATATAAATTATCTGTCTTAACTCACAGTTATAATCTCCAGCAAATTTAATTAAAAATTGGTAATTATGTAAATTAAGATCCTACTGCTTCCATGACAGGTCCAGCTGTGCCCTGTTTAAGGTCCCTGGGCTTTACACATTACTGCCTCTTCATCACAATAGGTCATTATTACCCAGTCACAATGCAATTGCACATGAATGATATTATTAAACAGCTTATGGACAAAGTATAATAAACATCACAAACCACTACATGATTCAGTAAAGGTAACCAGATTGGAACATTAAAGTTAAGCATCTTATATTATTAAAGGCTGCTTTCACAAACATAAAGGTATTTAGGGTGAAATGCCCAAGCTTCCTCTGACCTGACAGTTCCTCAGGACATGAAGTAAACAATCAGAGACACTTAGGCAATCACACTCCTGAAACACCAATATCTGAGACAAGTTCCGTCATATTTTCTAAGCAATATCCTTTGACATTTGTGTATTAAACTCTTAACTTCTACATGATGTATAGAAGCTTCCAGTTCAGTTTTCTATGGACTTCTTTATCCCAATATTTTTCTGTTAGGCTTCTTTACATTAACAAAAATAAAAATAAAAAACAGCATGGCACCATTTAAAAATATTAATATTCAATTTGTCATTTATTAAGATGCAATCAGACTTAAATACCTTTAATAGTTGCTTTTAACTAAAGACTGATCAAAACAGTGATAAGAATTACAGTCTAAATAAAGGGATAAAGCTTCACAAATGGTCATAAATATGGAAAAATAAATCAAATTATTAAATACATTAAATAAATGATTTAACCTGAGCACGGCACTTCCTTGAACTTATCAGACATTCAGTAATCACTGAAGTTGTAGAAAATTCCAGCTTTGGAGCAATTCCCTGGGAGGGAAAAAGAGGGCACTATCATTAATGAACAGAATGTGATGTAACGCAACAAAAACTTGTCAAGGTTCGGTGCTGCACCTGTTAGTTCGCATTTCTTACTAAAGACAAAGGAAATCCAGTAAGCTAAACATTAGCTAGAAAATGGTTCACTAATAAAGACTTAGGACTGATTATTGGTAGAGTTAAGTTTTTTAAAATTATATTCAAATGTTTCTCCTTCAAATTATTTCAAAATCTTAAGGTTTTGAAACTATGATATATTATGGTCATAAATATATGAATATACTTAATGGATTACAGTTATTTTACAACTGAATGTGTACTTCGCCATATAATCAAGAAATACCTTAATTAGCTTGATACAGCCATTTCACAATGTAGATACCATAATTATGTACAATGTCTATGTGTCAATGAAAATTTTTAAGAGGAAATATTTTGGATAGCGATGTGTTAAAAAACATAACTCCTGGACATACAGTTTTACAGATGTGCACTACCACAATTGGCTTGTGTATGTAGTTTTTAAAACAGCAGGTCAAAAAATATCTTCTAGCATTTTTCCTGTCATGAAGGAAGGAATCTGGTTTCTATTTTTAGCAATACTGTAATCATCAGTTTGAATATAGTTTTGAGACAAGTCAAACCAGTTCAAAGGGACAGTCACAAAGTACCTGAGAAAATATTTAAAAGCACGTATGTTAAGCATACGCCAAAAAGTAAATAGGTAATCAACAGCCCAAAAGAATCTTTAAGTCTAGCTAGAGAAACATTGGAAATTTCTTGATTAAGATTTACTCCTATTACTGCTCAGAAATACTCATGGTTCTTGGTTTAACATTTAAGACACTTCTTTCATTTTCTGAATCATAATTCCTTTGAAACAGAAAGTAGACTGGAGCTATATAGGGTTCTGAGCTTATGTTCATATTTTTCATTTTATAAAGTCTCTCATCATTTCAGATCAAACTGATCATGCTTCTATGAATATACAGTGATGCTCTTAAATTTTTCTGGCTATCATGTGAATTTTATTGGAATTTGCTCGATTGTCTAACAGTTCTGTTCTAAGATTGTTGGCAAACATGGTCCTCATGCATTTTAGAAAACTTATGTTTGATTAAATGATTTTGTAAGGCAGTATGTTAGATCTCTCCAAGGTTCTAATGAAAGATTTACAGTCATGCTTTCAGTTTCACATCAGACAACTTCATGGAAGGCCTGGAATAATGTTATGCAAGGGTCATTTTTACTGTTAGCACTGTGTCAGTGAGAAAGCTAAAAACCATCAGAATAGTAAGTTCCAACTTTTTATAACAACCTTTTCTTTTGCTATTTTCTACCCTCCCGTACTGAGCTATAAGTAGCAAAAACTAAACCAGGTGACCCCTCTAACATCAGAAAGCCTTTCTGGGCAGTCTGTTTCACTGGCTTTCCTTCCTATCTTCCACTTTCTTGCGGGTGACTATGCTGCTAAATTTTCTGGCATGACGTACCAATGATTCCATATTTAGTTTTCAAAAACAGTTACCTCACTGTCCTGCCAATCGTTATCTGATAGCTTCTGTGGGGACCTTCAAGCTTTCACAAATACTCTCAGGTAGTATTTTATCACATCAGTACCTGGACTTATACTCAATACTGTAACTCTCCCATATACTGCTGATCACATAGAAGTATGGATCACAAAGTCCTTCCAGCTCTGGTCCTCCCCATAGAACTGTTTAAGTGTTTCCACACAGAACAGATCAGCATGAGTGATCTACGAGTGAAGAATACTGCAAAGCTTGTAATGACCTGGTCTAGACTACCACTGTCCCACATTATATATGTTGGTCACTAGATACAGTGACTGAACAGAAGTATCCTTTGAATGAAGGCATATCAAAAATTTGCTGTACAGTCATGTACCCCTTAAAAATGGTAATATTCACTGAGAAGGAGGTGATTTGTTTTGAAATCCTTTATTACTTACACCGATTTGTTTTGATTGGTTTTATTTTCCTTGATTCTATTCACTTTAAAATAAAATTTTAAAAAATTTTTAAAAAGAAATAGGTGATTTTTGTGATTGTGGGAACGTCAGAGAGTACTTATACATGACTTATTACACATCTAATTCTATGGCATAGTCATCTCTGCATCTGCAGTCCTTCATTAACTGGATAGCATTATGGACTGTATGACTGTATTTTATCATACTTTCCCATATATTGCTGGCCACACAGGAAGTACCAAATAGTCTTTATTTTTACTGACTTTTTAAAGTCCAGCTGTATTGTTACAGGTTCTCCAGAGAAATAGAACCAACAGGGTCATATATACAAACGAGTTTATCTTAAGAAATTACTTCACACTACTATGGGAGATGGCAAGTAGAACATTTAAGGACAGAAGGCAAGTGGGGAAGTCTGGGAAAAGTTGAAGTGCATCTAGAATATGAAATTTGTAGAACAGGCGGACAGAGTTAATCCTCAGGTAAAATTTCTGTTATGGTCTGTAACTCCTTAGTTGGTCTTGTCCTACCCATCAGGCAAATAAATATCAGGGCAGCATCAATTTTATCCATTTTTATTTTTCTTTTGTAAACAAGAAAGACTTTCAAATTCTTCACACTGTAATTATTGGAAGTGCTAATTTTTTTTGTTTTTTGCCTGAGAAATACATCTTCCAAATATATGTAACAATAATTCACATAAAGTAATGAAAGATGAATCCCTATTCATTTTTCAAGCATTTGAGTTTATACTGTCGTCTTGGTTTAATGTTGGATTTTAAATTACTATTAAGAGAACATAAATTTAAAGTATGATTATTTCTTCATTGTGGGTTTCAGTACAGTTCTTGAAATATTCTTTAACACATTTATAATATAGAAGCTAACTAATGGATACTGAAAATATCCCTAAGGACAACTACATTGATAGATTTGCTCAATAAAGCTGTTATTTCCTTGAATAGAGCAAAACTGCTTAATTCACTATATTGACTCATATATCACTCCACTTTCCTTGCTCATACACCTAGAATTTTATAAAATCAGCTTTAAAATATTTGTCCAAATAATTTCTACCTAAACAACTTTTAACTTTCCTCCTTTGAATGGCAACAGTTTCTATCAGTTTCCCTAAATGGGAGACTTTTAAGAATAAAAATATTTTAAAATCATCTAACAAAACTTGGAAAAAGCTGTAGGAGACAACAAGAGAGTAAACTATTACTTAATGTTAAGGTGTAAGAATATATACTTCCCTTCCTTAAACATTTTACAGTTAATCTCACCAAACTCCTAGTAAAACACATTTCAATTATTTCAGTTTTTCACTATTATAGACAATGATAAAAAGGAACACAAGAGGGCTCTTAGTGCACCAATGAGAATATAGTTAAGATAAAAATCTGGAAGATCACATGTTATGAGAATCTTTGTCTTCACCAAATAATTCTGAATTCTGATTTGTTCCAATACACAAAAGCAGCATATAACAGTTTCCATCTTTTTCCACTTTTGATTTCAGATTTATTAAAATTTTCCAACCTTGGCTGGTCTGATGGCGTGGGTTATCAGAACTTATTAACATTAGTTAATAAGTTGGTATACCACCCCCCTCACTGCTAAATTTGACTGGCTTTTTAAAAATTTTTTTTCTAACCTTATAACTATAAAAATAAAAATTGCATAGGTTGTCTTAATGTGGATTTCCCTAAATGCTATCAGGACAGAGTACTTTTCAAATGTGTGTTGGTCATTCCGTAGAAGCAGTACTAGACAGAGACAGATGGCACAGGGATGAGCGGGGAAGAGACAAGGAGAAGAGAGATCTGAAGACTAAAAAGCACTATAATACATGTTAATTTTGGATGATACATGCCTAAATTTTGTTCAATTATTTTCATTAAATTTCAGTATACTTACAATTGTACAATTTAAAAACTATGTTTTAAGTGAAAATTACAAATTGAATTATTAGTTCCTTACATTTAAGATATTGAGGATATGTGATGCTTTTTGATAATGATCCTACATCAAAAGCCAATTTAGAAAATAGTAAGTACTTACTCGTAAGCCAGAAATCCTTCTCATGGTAACCTGACGGTTTGAATCATGGTGTCCGGAAATTTGATTTGGACCCGGGAACATGAAATCTCGTGTGTTTTCCTCATATGTAGACAATGTTTCACCCACTACAAGAAAGATACCCTATGATTCAAATTATAACAAAATAGTCTATTTAGAAAAAAAAAATCAGCACATATAATATATATACTGCCTGATGTCTTATTGAATACCTGCTTACGAGCATGTTTATCTTTTACAAAAGGAATACTGAAATAACTGTGTATTAAATATTTTAACATATTTCCATTTTCAGAAATATATATTAGTAGTTTCTTGTTTCCTGCTGGCCACCCCTGCCTTTTGAAAGAATGAGAATCTTGTAAACTAAATGAATAATTATTTAGTTTAAAAAGTGTCCACTTAAATATGTCATAATGGTATGATTTATTCATCTAAATTTTAGTTATTATCTCTGCAATTTTTCTAGATAGCATTTTTTCTGCCATTATAAGATATAAAATTATGTGTTAAAATTGATGTATTTATAAAATCTGTGGCCACCTGAATTAGGTATACATGTAATATTTGAACATTTCAAGCTGGTTGTGGTGGCGCACACCTGTAATCCAGCATGCAGGACGCTAAGATAGGAATATTGCTGTTTGAGGCCAGCCTGTGCTACACAGTAAGCTGAAGGCCAGCCTGAACTGCATGGCAAGACTCTTATCTCAAAACAAAAACAGAAACAAAAACAAAAAGTTCACAGTAGCATTTAGAAAAATACAGTGTTAGTTTACAAAAAATAAGGATTTAAAATAAATTTCTTCTGCAATAACAGAAATCAATATAGGAAAACTAAACTCTATATTTAATAACCTAGGTGCTCTTGGAGTCTGTAACATCATCTATAAAAGAAAAGTTCTACTCTCCATTAATAATAGTCAACACATGAAAATGAAATAATTTCTTTATCAATAAAAATATACAGCTTTAGAAAAATCTCAAAAAGTTAAAAATCAATTTTCAACTCACAACATATCCTCAAATGATAACATGTTATTTCCACTGTTACACATCAAGCACCATTATCCCAATCTTTCCTTATCTATTATTTTGTTCTACTACAACTTTATACATAATATACTAATGGTAAAAACATAGATCAACATTGTTCTTAAATTGGAGAGAGGGAGAAAAGGTGAGGCTTCAGAAAAATATTTCATTGAAATGAATTCCCATATCAATCACTTTACCAGTTTTTAATACAGTACCTGGTGGAACTAGTTGTATCAATTCAAACATTGCTGTGTCATCTGAGAGTTTAAAGAAAAAAAATTTCTTAAGTAAATAAATTTATAATAAAAATAAGTTAAACTAAAAGCCAAAATAATCATTAAACTTAAGAATATGTATGCTTTTATCTAAGTAGACTATGTTAATTTTATAAATATAAATTATGTTCATTAGAGTGGTAAGTACAGTTAGGCCTATTATTGAAGTCCTTATACTTTTCACATGTGAAATATTTTATAAGAAATTTATAAAAATAAGAAAAATATATTATGTCTTTTTATCCATGAAATACACATAATTGCTTCTTTCTTTTAAATTCTACCATTTTCCACCAATGAAAGTCTCACTCATTCAATCTTTTACCTATACATTTAACCTATGAAGAAAGACTACATACCCCCTTTAAGTCATAACTTTGGACTGTAATGCAAAAAAAAAAGGTTAGGCGGGGCCTTTTATCTTAAGAACCTTGAATTCTACTAGGAATATTTTATTAAATGAATATTAAACAAATATTACCTAAAACATGAATATATAATTACAAACTACAAGTATAAAGAGGACATTGTAGATAGTGCTGTGAGATAATGTACCAATAAGACCTAATCCAGTTAGGCAGTCAGGATTTCTCTGAGAAAGCGCTTCTTAGTACCTGATGTACCGCATGAGTAAGTATTATAAACTGGGAGTCAGGGGGCTAAACAATTAGTTTCCCAAGCAGAAGGGCAAGCATATGCAAAGAATTTTAATACTATAGAGCAAAGTAATCTGAAAGATTGGGCAGTTCAAAAAATAAACCTCCTGTTATAATCAACTGCAAAAAGTAGACAACTTTAAAAAGTCTGCTTGAAAGCATGGGAGACCTAACAAAGCACTTTTAAAAAAAAGTGTACGTCTGAGACATTGTGTAAAAATAAAATTCGGAGATAGTGCCTGCCATTTGAGGCTGATTTTCCCTGCTGGTCTCACAATTTTGATAAAAGCAGCTAAGAGGTAAAAAGATAAGAAAAAGCTTTTGATCCATTCATAAAGTAGAGGAACAAAAACTGGAAAGATCTAGAAATAAGGAGCAATGGCCCAATTAATTGGTTGGATTGTAAAAGCACAGAAGAGAGACCTAATGTAAAGAATAAACCAAAAATAGATAGCCATCTTAGAATTAACAACCAAATTTGACAAATCCCAAATCCTGTTAGAATTAAGATAACCCCACAAATTGCTAATGTCCTCTACTAATCTACTGAAACAATTGTCAATTTTATCTAAAAAATAACTTTTTTTTTTGGTATCAGGGATCAAACTCACAACTGCACTTGGCGGCAGGCACTGAGCTAAAATCCCCAGCCCTTTTAGAATAACTTTAAGATAAAATTATTTTTAAAAAGTTTAGAGCCTAATATTCAAACATAAGTAAAAGGACATATAAGGAAATAGTCAGATTAAAATCCAAGATAAATGATGGGAAATTAAAGCAAAAAAACAGAAGATCTAGAAAATGGGAACTCAAAAATCTGCTTAATTTGACTTGCAGTTTGTAGTTTGGCACGTAAGGAAATTATATATCTTCATCTTACAAAGTAAAAGGCTAAATTAATCAAAGGAAAAGGAATATTTAGAACAACAGTATTATGGAATATACCTAAATGTTAATACCAGAGATCCACGAGGATAATAGGACACTACCCAAGATAAATGTTCAAAAGACCTACAAAGTTTAGAAGTTCAAAAATAAAAGAAAAACCCAAACCTACAAAAAAGCAAGCAAACCTACAAAAACACCAAATCTATAAAAAAGCAAGCATAAAAATTACATCTGACTTCTCAGAAACCATGCAAAAAACAGAGCAAAATATTTTAAAAATGGAAAGAAAACAAAATCAACCTAGAACGTTGTATCCTACAAAATTAGCTTTCAACACTGAAAAAGACATTCGCAAACAACAAAAAAAGAAAATTGAGGAAATTTGTTGCCAACAGACTTGCCTTTCAAGAAATATTGAAAGAAGTTTTTCAGAGGAAAATTATATACATCAGAAACTTGAATCTATAAAGAGTGAATAAGTGATGATAAAATGAAAATTCTTATTACTCTCTAACTGATCTAACAGATAACAGTTTCTCCAACTAGTAACAGCCACAGTGTATGCATTATGTATGTTTGTATGGGTTTATATACACATGAACTGAATAATAACAATAATCTAAAATATAGAAGGAAGTAGAATTATTTTAAAGATACTTATACTGTCCATGAAACTATGTAGCATTATTTGAAAGTGTATTTACGTTATTTGTAAATATATATATATATATTCTAAACTCAATGGCAACCATTAAAATAATAAAAAAAAATTGAAAAGGAACAAAAAACATACCTGGAATGCTAAGAAAGAAAGTTGAATCACATATAATGCTAAATTAAAACCACAAAGGCAGAAAAGAGAAACAAAACAGGAACAAAAACCATGAAAAAACAATAATAGACAGTAGATATTAATCAACTAGATGACAATGGTTAAATGTACTAGTTAAAAGAAATTGTGAGTGGATCAAAACAGAAGATCCAATTATGCACTATCTAAATAAATGCTAAATAAAATATAAGTAGGTAAAGATAAATTATACAATAATCTATTACCAAAAATGCTCTAATGAAGAATTTATGAAGACATTTTTCATAAAAAATAGGTGAAGAAGTTCAGAGATAAAACTGGAGAAAAACCAAAAAGCTACAATGTAGCAAAAAGTGAAGTGAATGATGCCTATGCAATAATAAATACGTGGTTTAACTACATGTTAAATTGGAAAACTGACATTATCTCCCTGTGTTAATTCCCAAACCCAGCAGCAGTTCTACTTCTACATGTACCCCCAACAACAGTGCATGCGCATGAGCAGTAATTATACACAGCAATATTATTCATGACAACAAAAAGCAGAAGTAACTTAATCATCCCTCAATAAGTTAAACATGCAACCCTCAATGCCCAAAAATAATACAATAAAATCAAGCATAGTCAAAAAATGAAATACTATACAGCATAAAGATGAATAAATACAGTTACAACAGATAAATTTCTAATCAAACGTATGTAAAAACAAAACAAAAGAGCACACGGTATGATTCAATTTATTTATTTTTAAAGTAGGCAAAATAAACTACAAAATAAGTCATTCAGATGAAAATTCTTTTGTTGAACAGGGAAGAAACAGAGGTTGGGAGGCAGTTAAAGGGTAGCTTTCTGGAGTTCTACAATATTCTGTTTTTTAAGCTAAGTTGTAGTTGCACAAGTGTCCACAGTGCGATTTCAATGAGTTACAGACATACTTGAGTTTTGAGAAACTTTCTATGCACATGTTAAGTTTGTATATCAAAAACTTGAAAAATTATTAATGTATGCTTACAGAGACAATAGGTTAAACATATCTATTAATCCGTAGTACCTTCTGAACTTTCACTAATGTAATAATAAAAAAGACTAAACACACACCAATTTATAACAAAATCAGAGTGAAACAATTTGAAAAGTGGTAACTGAGACAACAGGAGAAAGAGTACGCTCATAAATGGAAGCTTAGAAACAATTCACTTTGTAATGAGTAATCCTGTAGACTTATTAATATGGTGTGCTAGTTATGTATGGAAATAACAAACCAGTGGGCTACAATCCAGCAGAACACACAAACCCCTAGATTCTTCCTCACTTTACACTGTCAGAAAACTGTCTTTCTCAATGTCAAGGCAAATGACTAGAAATTTATTCTCTAAAGAAACATTGAGAAAAAAGAAGTTACTGGAATGAAAAGAATATGCATGGGTTATAAAACCACATAGATGAAAAGTTAGGACTACATACTCAGATTTTACTATAGCTTTGTCCTTTATAGGATTGTAAAACCAAAGACTGTCAAGCTTATAGCCTCTGGGAGCAAGATATAAATTATTTTCCTACTGAATATGACCAGCCCAAAAGAAAAAAAATTAAAGGATGATGACATTCTAATTTCCCAATAAAATGGTCACTCTACATTTAAAGTTCACATTGACAACCTCCACCCAAGAAGAATCCTTAAGACTTTGTGATTTCCAGCAGCAGGTACCTCTGGCACATAACTTCCCAAAGCATTTTTGTTCTCCATTCTTTAATATGAACACATCACCAACAATTTGAAGTACATTCTTATATGAAAGAAACAAAAGCACAAAACAGAAAAATACGAGCACAGACGAGAGCTAAAAGTGTCTCTGAATAATCCCCTGATAAAAGTACATACAATAAAATTATATAGAAATAGCCAAAACCTACAGATAAATATTTATGGTGAACCCTTTCCCATCCTCATCGTGATCCAGGGAGGTTTATAGTTATAATCCAATGGAGAAGTTATTGGAATTCTAGTGAAATAATTCCAATCTACCACTTCCAGTGCAACCCAGAGTGAGAATGAAGACCCCAAGACATATATACAGTTGTGGGGAGCCAAGGAGTCCTAAGTACAGCCAAAATGGCATTCACTGGAACAAAGGCCACGACTTAAGAGCCCAATCCAGGTTTCATTAATTCTCCATGAGGGGAGAGGCTTGGGGATGAGTGACAGAGTGGCGGGAAGTACATGACTGCCATGGCTACTGTCAGCTGCGCTAGATAGGAGATTTAAGATTACCTGTGCAATAAACAGAGGGCAAAAAATAAAGACAGCAATCTGCATTTAATAATTTGGAGTCAGTGCTTCAGTTCTGATGTGCAAACGAGGAGACAATATATCCCTACAAAGCCTAAAATAAGCCAGATAGAGACAAACCAGTAATAGTTACAAGATTTGTAGGGTTAATAGCATCTGTATAGAAGGAAAAAGATAAAAGTACAGGGCTTTTGAAAGGACCAGAAAATGATGTAGCTTGAATCTTAAACATCCTGCAATGACCATAAAAGAACTGTGCCCTGGGAGAGTGTTGGAATGGAATCTCTAAGAGGTGGGCCTCGTGTGAGGTCTTCGGGTTACTGGAGATGTGACCTTA